TTCATACCGTAAGACCAACCGTGATACTTGCAGGACAAGACGTTGTTCTGGCCATTATCCTTGACAACGACGGGAAAAGCACGGTGACGACAGATGTTATGAAAGCCCCTGATGGTACCCTCTGCATTTCGAATGAGGAAGAAGTCAAAGCCAGCTTCAGCGTATCGGACCCAGGCGCCGGTCTGGTCGAAGCGCATCTTGTGAGTGAGCAGGATCCATTTCTTGGAGAAGATGGCTCTTCGCTCAAGTTCGTAGATGTCGTCTGACTTGTACCATGTTGAGGGGAGGGGTTGAGTGAGGGGTGCAGCAGCGGGGATGGCTCTTGAGATAAGGTTTTCCTTTTGCGGTCTAGATAGTGTCTTCACGACGAGGGCGATGGCAGCTGCTATGGCGAAGAAGATGAGTGTGCCGAGAGTCAACATGTTGCTGGCTGGTTAGGTCAGAGTACCTTGGAGTAGATGGATGTTTACCGATCAACTGCTGAGGAGGGGAGCATGCCAATCTATATATTTACTACGTATGTCACTGATCTAGACCCGGCCGACCATTCTGTTCCCATGGTCGACGCCACTTTCGCCCGAACAACGATAGAATGATTGCAAGATAAACGGGCATCCCGCTAAGCAACCGGTCATGTGATCGGTGATAAGGACTAGTTCTCTAGTGCCAGCGACAAATGTCATTGACGGGATTGGGCGCAGATCAAGTGGACCAAGGAGTTTGCTTCCGCGCTTGAACGGTTCTACGCCGTCAACCCCGGGTCACATTCCCCTCTTGTATCGATGCAATGTCGCAGCAACGCATCAGCTGGTTGAAGCCATCCGCGGTACTTGTATTACAATTTCCTATCGCGTTCTAGGTTATCGCACCCCGCATCTTTTGACCTCCGCATTTCGCTCAGAGATACCGGACTTTCGTGTCCGTGCCCGGTCCGTATCGGGTGACGCAACCTTGTTCGGCATCGGTAAATCGCAGCCGGTTGCGGGGTGTTTTTGGGCTGCTATCTCTGGTTTCAACCAACAGCGCGTGTACGTGGCACGGCATTTTATTTGCTTCTAGATAACGAAACGTGGTGTTTTGGTGTTCTGGACCTTTTCTAGAATATTAATGTTACATAAATATGCATCGCTTCCCGGAGTATCACCCGCCGCTATGCCATTAAATGGTAGCTTGCCGACGATTGGCAGCTCAGAGGGCACCAGCTGACTTTCACGACGGCCCAATACTTGACAACACCGTTGCAGCTTCCCAAATGCGGCTTCGTCTACACGGGAGTAAGTTTTTTGGTGTTGAGGGGTAATGCATGGAGGATCTGCCGTCGGTCTGCTTCCCATCAACAGCATCCATGGACTGCTGATACGGTTACTCTTTCGCGCGATAAGGTCCCGAGATCGGCCAGTCCAATCTCGGCAATAGTATAAATACCCAATGTGTGCCGCGATAAGCTTTCAGCTACGGAACTCAGCTCCAATGTCTCATCTTGCTCCATCATTGCGTCGGACCTGATGAGATAATGGACGAAGGCCTCATCTGCTGTCAATTATGTGCATGGGCATGAGAGATTGTTTGTAACTGTGAACCAGTCAAGACCAATTGATCTGTAGCTTTCTTCTCATCACAGGGGGCGGATTATCTACAGCTTTCATGTAAAGCATAATTGATGCTTGCAGGCGCTGGGATTGACAATGCCATGCTAGCCAGTTGATTGGTTGATACTTAAAGCTTCTGACGTCTCAACGAGACATCAAGCCAACAGACTGAGACCATGCTAGCTAATAAAAGTGTATATTTTCGAAAAAGCTGTAAGCTCAGACCAATATGCTCATGTGCTGCTTATCGTTCTTGTCGTTGTCATTACTTGATAATCATGACATCAAACGTCATAGAAGGCCGAATGTTACTCAATCCCGATCATGTCACGATTGCATCAAGGTCTTGGTTACATGGAGCTACAGCCCTGATAGGACAATAACCTAGCTGAAATTTGCCATACTCGTCTTAAACTATAGGTCTTACACCCAGTCCCCACTCTCGGACCATACTTGAATAATTTCCTGTCAAATAGCGATGCTCAACAGCTGCTCATCACTGTGATCGATGTAAAGACCTCTCTATCGTTATGTCTATCTAGAGGAATTTTCAATCCCGCTAGACACTGGCCCAGGATTTCTAATTGTAGTAAGCATCTTATGAAATGTTCTATGGAGTAAGTTGCAGCCAGTATGGTTAGGAACGGGGGGGCTCTCAGTATTAACTTGGCATATACTCAATCCTGGAGATCACAGCTTAAAGCCGTTCTTTCAACCGCAGAACTTTTTATTTTCTCGTCGTGACCTTCTTCCCTGTCTTCTAATCGGACACTTCTCAGAACCTCGCAAGATATACGTCGGGCGCCCCAGATGCAACAAACGAAATTGTCACTTTGCCAAATCCAAAAGAGTGAGGATTTCCAGCTAAGTCAAACTGCTCAGATGATCATGGTATAATGAGCTTGGAAGCGCACGCAATCCGGCGTCACAAGGCTAGAGGTAGTCATCAGTTTCACTCATGCCATCTGTCACTCTGCAAAGATGAGATGCGGCTGTCATCTTATGTATGACTAACTACTAATCAGTCGAGTAAGTATTACTGGTACAGCATGGCTACGTAGCAATGAACAGCGATGGAAAGGACAAGCAAACGCAAGATTGATTGAAGATAATAATATGTATTGGTCTTCCGCTTCAAGGGAAGTACTCTATCTAAAGGACTCCAAAGCCGCTTAATAATGTATGTAACGAAGAAGTATTAACCCAGTGAATTGATCCATGAGACCAGGACGTCAGCCGTTGATCTGGTCATATTATATGCCACTGGAAGCAAGGCTAAGGGCAAGGCTACCAATTTACTTGGCGCAGACCTTGGCGTACAGGTTGACGGGGCTGGGGCAGCCGTAGACCTTCTTCATGCTGGGGGTGCTGTAGCACTTGGCATCGTTGGCCTTGCAGTCGAACTTCTCGCAACCCTCACCAGGGCTCAAGATGTTGTGCTTGTCAGCGAAGGGGTTGCCGTACTCAGTGCTGAACTCGTCTGAAGAGGAATGTTAGTAAGGGTCATTTAAGCAAGGCAGCAGGGGAAAACATACAGTAAACGTTGTTGGGCTGAGACTCGGAAGAGTAGCCGAAGAAGAGAGGCTTGGTGAGAGTTCGGGTGGTGGCGATCTTGATGGTAGAACCGGAGGCACGGAGATCCTCAGAGAATCGCTGGCCGGGCTTGACAGTGGTCAAGGGACCGGGAGCGCCGCCGCCGTAGGGGAAAGACTGGACGTAGATGGTGTTGGTGCAGTCGTTGATGACATTGGCCTTGTTGGCAGCAGCAGCAGAGCCGAAGACGGCGGCGAGGGCGGTGAAAGCAGCGAACTTCATGGTGACGGTTTAGAGTTGGGTGGTGTGAGAAGGTTTAAGATGTGAGGGGTCGTGATGATGTAGAAGACTGAGAGTGAATGATGAGATGAGATGAGATGATTGAAGTGAATTGGAGCTGGGTAAATATATGCCTTTATATTATGTGAGAATTGGGATCTGACCTCTGGGCTTCTCGAATAGGATACGAAGTTCTGTGCACTAGCTGCGCCCTAATATCACCTATACGAAGTATGATCCATCGTCTTGTCCGGAGAAACTCTGGCCTCGTGATATTTTCTGCGGGGTTGTCGAGATCAGCAAATGCAAATGCAAGGAAAATCCAGCCCAGCAGTGCAATGGACTCGCATGCCGAAACATCCGACTGCTCTGTGCGTCATGTTATTATCGCATGGTTTTTTTGCATTAAGAATTATGCTTAGCTCGTATTCACAGGGCGAGTGGGTTATTATTAGATGAGCCAGGGGGGATGATCATGGCCCTACCCGTGCATCGTCCGCCCCGCTAGTGCTGGATTGGGATTATGCTTCTTTGTTGAGAGGTGATCGGACATTTCGACGTAATGGTCACAGCATGATTCACAAGGACGGGTATGTCATTTGTTCCTGACTCTGTGATTTGGTCGATCGGTGAATTAAGCCCAGCCTCAGCCGTGTAGTGCATGTACAGAGAGGACAGTGACGACATTGTGCATCTCTAATGAACAGGTCTAAGAAACAGACAGTCTCACCGCATTGTCAGTATGAGTGAGACTGACCGCCAAAACGTGCCAGCGCTGTAAAAACACGGACTGTCCGTTCATGCACTTTCTCCAATACTATCATGAACTCATTTCCAGAAGGAACCATACGAGACACAGACCAGAAAGCTCAACATATGCCGTGCCGAGTCAAGCCATTACGGGACTACCAAATCTTGAAAAAATGTAGCAGCTCGAGCGGGTCTGGACGTCATTCGTGGATGCCGAGGCGGGGGAGGCTGGGCTCTGAGACTGAGACACCGTCGGGCCCGGCAGACACTGACAAAAACAAAAACTTGCCGTAATTTAGAGCCGAGGGTGGAACCATCAGTGCTCGGAGTCTCGCGCACGAGGTGCTACTATAGGGTATTTTTCACACAAGTTCAACGTGACCATGACGCTCTTTTAGCCTGTAGCGTGGTATTGAGTCCATGGCTCGTGTTGTATCTGTAGCTCGTATTGCAATTGACTCTCACCGTTAGGGTAACCTGCTCGTTCTAGAATTGGGAGAAAAGAAGGTGATTGACCGACTTCCGAGCTCAACAATTGATCCCGTGTATAGCCTCATGGATGCATCGTTACATCACACCACTAACTTTTAGTGCCATTTTTAGCCAGTGAGCACCTCTATGGGTAATTCCTGCGTGGCTGAGGATCTTTAAGTGCATGCATAATCAGCTTACTGCGTTAATAGCCTCATCACTAATTGGTATCGCATTTGCGCTGGGGAATGCCTTGGGATTGTCTGTAATTCTGTATTCGCATTTCAATTGACGGCAGCGATGACTCGCCTGCTGACTAAAACTAAATTGTGCCGATCTTTTAAAATTACTGTACTGAATGCCACCAATCAAACTCGTCCAGTTTGTGAGACGCGACATTATCTAGACGAGCGCGCGTTAAGCTTAAAGTCAATGCAACAAGTTTTAAACAAAGCCGAGTTGCATCAGGGATCTGGCTACTATCCATCCACTGGCGATGGAGCAGAGAAGTTAGTGACCTCTGATACCATTGAGCATTTTCGCTGCTGCCCATTACATTCGATTTAAATATCTCCAGTGCGATATACTCAGATAAACGCGCGCTAATTTTGAGGAGCAGGGAGTCATCGACCTTGACGCGAAAAACATCCAACGGGTCATGTCTAAGGCTGCGAGATAGCTGGAAGTCATCCCAGGTCCAATGGCTACCCCGCGATATCCAGGACACATGTCTCCAAAACCACTGGCTTACCAGTCGCATGCAAACCCTCGATATGTTCACCAACCTTGTTTCCTCAGAATCTTCGCGCGTTCATGAATGATCCCAGGATCGCTGAGGTATATCTCTACCGTGTAGAAAGACTCTTACTCAACGGTGCCCTGCTTGGTACTTGACTGTCGCTCGCAAATGCTAAAGGCTTGATTGCATGGGTCAAAACCGTTTGACTCTCGGTCAAAGCCCTTCGAAGCAATCCTGTTGAATTGCTCAGCATTTCCCAACAATTGGTCTTTATTTGCGCCGGATATGTCTATCAAGGCTTGCGAGACTTGAATCCTTATATGCGAATTGGCGACCTGGTAGATTATGTCCATCTGAAGGCTGCCATGAGATGGCCCAACATTCACCTTCTGCGGTGAGGTAATTTAACAACGATATGGGAATGAGTGGAATAACCTTTGGTCGATAAGGCGGCTGTAGCAGGGTGGCCAATATCGACCAAGATGATGCTACGAGAGTAGGCATGAATTGCGGTGCATGCATAAAGCCCTACACATCATAGCCAATTTGGAGTGAAATCATATATCACTGGCACAGTCTACTTCTTTTCTCTTCATATCTTCCTTTGCGTATCTTGACTTCGGTCAGTTATATAACTTTATTGAGGTCGAAGAAGCTTTACTAAAGCTGTCATTACTGTCAAAGACGAAGCATCCTGCAATATCCTACGATGCCATTAGCCTTCTCTGCCGTTCCGGTAATAACGTATTCTTTATTCTCTAACAAAGCAAAGCCCCGTTAACAATATTCTCATGTCCGCCGTGCGTCCAAATTATATGCTGGTCTCCTCGCCCTTACCTTTAATGCCTCTATTGACATCCCCCTGCGCTAATACTGTCGCCAGATATTGAGCAGCCGACTTTGGTCACTACTCTTGTCATAAGCAAGGTTTTAAATAGAAACATTACTACTGAAAAAAACCCCCAGCATCTGGTGCAATGATCTCAGCCTTAGCAGGTGGGGATACTTCCCCGGAATTAAAACAGCAATGACAAGCACGCCGGTAGGCCGGCTTAATTTATAACAAGAATAACGCTACTCCATAGACAGACCATGATTACTAAACACAAATCAAAATCTCAGTAATCACCAACTCTATTCACTGAGCACTGTGTTATCATAGAGTTGCATTTCGCATCATTTGAGTTAATGCTAAGTGCCCTCTACTAAGAGCCGACGGAACAGTCGGAACACTTAACACATATCTGCTGCCGAGGTTTAACTACTGTCGCCGAGACGATTTATGTAAATACCGCACAACGCTATAAGTTAAGCCTTTGGCTCATGCTCTATGCTATTTCGCGTAGCAGGCTATTGCGCAAGAGGAAGACCAATACCTGATCTTCTTCCAATAGCATAATTCTTTCCGGTCGCTCAACCCTCCAACGCTGCAGTCATGTCAAACTCACATCTGCCCAATTCTCACGCAGACGTTACTCCGACATGGAGGCCTTATAAGTTCCCCCGGATCCCATTGCCTGAGGCGATCAAAACGAGCCCAGTTGCAGACTCCGATGGAAAGAGATATAGCGGTAGCGTCCCACCGGACTGGTGCGGAAACGGTGCGTCATTCACCATACATGAATCAACAATATCGTATTAATCATAGCATTGTAGGTGGCCGGCGACTGGCAGCCCATGGTGGGTATTGTGCCACAGTTCTTATGATGACAGCGCAGCAATACCATCGTGACCAACACGGGAGCCTAGGGAACATGGAGCCTCTCAACATGTCGGTTGAGTACCTTGAACCGTTACCTCAGGGTCGATTCGAGATTGGTCTCGAAACGTTGAGCATAGGTAAACGCACTTCAACAATTGAAGCCAGGCTTATATCGTTGGAAGCCCAAGAAGATAAGGTCTGCACAATTGCCATAGTAAGGCTCGGTATGCTGAAAGACGAAGGTCACGTTACCAACATACAACCGTCAGTCTGGCCATTACCAGATCGAATAAAGGATTGTACTCGATGGTCAGATGCAAGCTACTACTTCATGAATCCCCCCGCGTCAACGGTAAGGATGTGGACACCCAGTGGCGAGAACGCGCCGCTGTGGAATAAAGAGTTCGGAGGCCAGAATACCAGATATCAATGGGTGAAACTGGACAATGAGAATAAATTTGGATTGGAGCACTTGCCAGTATTGGCGGACTTGGTAACCACTACATGTTCATTGTGTTGTCACCGAAGCTAACATATTTTACACTGCAGGTTCCCCCAATCTTCCTCAACTACACCGAGAATGGGATGGAAGCGGCCAGCAGTTGGGGTATGCCCACAACCGCTCTCAACATCATGTTCCGATCTGAGGTTACTCCGCAGGACTGGCTTCTGACCCGAACCACAATGAAGAGATTACACGGTAGTCGGTTTGATATGAACATCGAGATCCTCAATGAAGACGGGAAATTACTTGCTTCTTGCGTCCAGATTTGTTCTGTTATACCTCTTGGAAAGCCTAGTTCTCAAAATGTAGTGAAGCTTTAGACACTATGTTGCAAAAAGAGGCTAGGTAGTAATTGATATGACCAGAAACATATATAAAGCTAATAAATACTTGACATTAAATCACTTAAACATTCTGATAGCACTAGATGTAAGGCATAGCAAATACGCTCCAGGCCCTTAGTGTTTGCATTGAGTACAGGCTTGCATCTAATTGGTGTTTGCAGAGATTGCGGGGGAAAACCACTCAGTAGCTCGATCAGATGGTTATTTGACTCTTCGCACGTTCAACATCTCACCTTTGTTATCCTATGGATAGAGGAACTCGACGCAACATATTGAAGACGGGATATCCCCGGCAACGAGCCGTCGCAGCGTGCTTGACATGTCGTGACCGAAAGCACAAATGGTGCAGCCTCCTCAACCCCAAGCTTTGGTAGCAGGCTTGTCACATTGGCGACATGGTTGATCCTTTTACTTACATTTCTCTGAGAGATAACTTGCGGCCAGTTTGTTCTTCCAGTGAAAGAATTGGAGCCCGATGCCAGTATACAAAGCGAGATGCTTCATCATTTGATCCCGCATCGCTGCAAATTCTCGAACAACTATCCTTGATTGAGGGCTTAGTCAGAGGTATCCAACCTTCCACGTCCTTCGATACCCCCGCTGCAGCAGCAGTCTCCGGCCACCAAGAGCAACAAAATTCATCTGTCAATTTGCATTCTCTCCAAAATGGCCTGGAGACGGACACTGAACGCATCATGCCAAGTCTCAATTTGGAGGCGAGTCAAGGAGCTAGCACTGATGATAGACTGCTGCAATGGCTTATATTCGACAACCTTCTTTACTCTCTTCCGCGTTTCAAATTCTTGAATCCAAACAGTCAACAGATCCTTACTTATCTTGGCGATGCTGTACGTCAGACTGATTACCCAGAAGCCTATTTGTCTCTAACGTCTGGGACTGGTTAGGCCAATATCTCGACAGACAGGTTAGATATACAACCGCTTGTTGACTCCTTCTTCCAAAGAGTAAACATCAAGAACCCCATACTCACCCGCCAGGAAGTTGAAGAGTACTGTCACCAGTATTATGAAAATGGACCCCGGTTCAATCTAGAGACTGAATTGGTGTTGTTAGTATGTGCCCTGGGGGCCGTAGCGGATGAGTTCAATCCACTCAATATGGGCCAAAGCCTGGGAAGCTCCTTGGAGACACCATAAGCTAGGGAATTTCTACTTTGCTGCCTCCGAGGAGAGAATAGGTGCTGCTACTTCAAGGGTTGATACACTTTCCATTCAATGTTTGTGTCTTGCTGGGTGAGTCAGGTCAATTGTCAAGTACGTGATACGACGATAACCAAGACTTGTCATCGATCTAGCATCTATCATATGTATCTGATCAGTCTTGTGCAGGCTTTGAGAATGTTCCATGCAGCAGGGTCATCGCTCCAGATCCTCCTTTCTACCAAGTTTGTCGTCTTTCATTCCTGTGGCCTACTGGACCAATCACTCATGATACTACAGCAGCGAGTATTTGGTGGGAGGCACTTCACAACTGATCTCGAGCCTGTTTTGGATATGTTCTCAGTCAGAAAGGGTTCAATATTGGTTAAAAGCCTTGTGCAAACTGACAAAACCAGTGAAATACTTGCAGAAATGCCCCTCGGGGTGCCCGCTCTAAGAGACCCTCCATCTCAAGACTCTTATCCTCCGCCACAACACGTAGCAAGGGATGATTCCAACGAGTGGGCTTCGTATGGAGAAGTTAATTGGTTCTTCTTGTTGTCCGAAATAGCTCTTCGGCGCATTACAGATCAAGTTGCGGAAATAGTCACCAAGTACATCGATTCTAAGATCCGCAATCACCAGGGCCAAAGGATCGAAGGCTTCACGCCAATCGTGGTCTAGTTCGAGGATCAAGTTGAGACATTTCGACAACTACTTCCAAAAGCCTTCAGATTCCACGACGTACCGGAACTAGCAAGCACCGAGTGGCAGCAATACAGCCGCGGACGCTATTATCGACTTCTCGAACTAATGCACAGACCTTTTGTGACAAATGAACTCTGATCCCAAAGTATTTACTTTATTCAAGCCCGAAAAGCAACATCATATGCATTGTTAGGTACGGTTCCGACTTTCTGTGAAAGAAAAACACAGTTCTGGTTAGCCTTGGTGTACTGCACACCCTCGCAGCTTGGATCAGTGGAGCAGTCTTCCAAGCAATCTACCAGGTCTGCTTGTTCAACACCACCGCCGTTGAAGAACGCTAGGTTAGAGCTACAGCTCAGGTCGAAGCGATCGCCGTTGCTGGCTGTGTAGGGATCGCTGAGGGCTGTGCACTCATCCGTGCTTGTTGGTGCTGCGCTGAGAGTTGTGTCTGTGGGACTGTTGGATGTTGATTGTGCTGCTGTGGTGCTTGGTAAATTGGTCGTAGACTCTAAACTGGTAGACTGAGAACTGGTAGATTGTAAGGCAGAAGTCTCTAGAGTGCTGGAATCTGAAGTAGAAGCCTCCAAAGTGGTAAATTCTGTAGTTGAAGTTTCTGAAGTAGTGGATTCTATAATCATTTCCGTCTGATCAGTCGTAGCTTCGCTGTTAGAGACGGCAGTCGTTCCCTCTATAGTAGAAGTCTCAGGTTCAACACTTGAAGTACTATCCTCAGACCGAGTTGTATCAGCCTCACTTGTCTCTGATGAAGCTGCTTCAATCAAAGTCGACTCTGCTGTCCCAATAGATGTGTCTACTTCTGTCGTCAAAGTCGGGGCAGTGGTTAGAGACACTCCCTTGGTGCTCGATTCACGAGGAACTGGCGATGAAATAGTAAATTCTGTAGAGGCATCCGAGGTAGTACTGCCAGTTGTTAAACTGAATGAGGTAGTGGCGCTTGACTCTGCTGCGGTAGATGCCTTGGCCGAGGTAGTCGTTTCAGAAACTGGAGCTACAGATTGGTCCCGAGAGATACTGCTCGACTCTCTAGCACTTTCGTAACTAGACTCCACAAGTGATGTATCCTTTGTTGTTGTTCTTGTTGTAATCGCCATCATCGTAGAACCTTTATCATTGGTAGAGTTTCCGGAATTGATGGCTTCAATCGTTGAGGTTATAGTCTCAGTAGCGCTCGTAGTGGTGTCAAGGCCAACAAGTCTACCATTCTGGCATTGCCTCTCTAATTTCAAGTTAATAACCCGGTAATTGTGCTTGCCAAAACTAACTTAGCTCACCGTCATAGACCTCGAGAACAATAGGCACACAACCAGCTGGCCCACTGGTAAAAGTTACGTACACCGTCCCATCAGGTGCAAGGCAGAAGCCCGCACCATCAGGGATATCCGGATTTCTAATCTCGAGCAATCGGCCAGAAGTTACAAATATTCTCGTAACTGCGCCTACTGGGGGTACTGGCCTAGCTCTAAGCTCTGTGAAGTCTTGGCCATCATAAAAGAATGGGACGCCTCCTATGAAGAACTGCCCCTAGGCGAGGTTGAAGCTTTCAGTGTTGTCCTTTCGTGGCTTTCTGCAGAATTCCACAGTTTATTGCAATCTCTCTATGTCTTGGTCTGTCAAGGGCTAAATGGCACCTACAAGAGAGGATTATATTGGATATATATTTCTTTACTCTAAAGGCCTTAATTCAACTTTTAGATCAAAGTATAATATAACCTGTTCCCCACAATGCATATGTATTTCACTCCCTTGTTAATTTATTGACATTCCTAAGCTTATTAAATAACCCCTTGTAACGGCTCCCTCCCTTGCCGCGCCAGTCAATGAAAACGCATTTATCGATGAGTTCTCTCCTTTAATATAATATTCTTTTTCTCATCAGAAAAATGACATTTATTCACCAGATATACTACATTCAAGCTACCTATGTGCTCCTGAGCGAGTGGGATCCTTGATTGATGGGCCTAGAATAGCTTGGCCGAGAAGTAAGTTCCAAGTCAGTCTGCTAATTTAAGCTCTCAGCCACAAGTCTCAACTGCAAATAATACATCTAGCCCACGACTGGGTCGAGAAGAATAATTGGATTTCACAAGCGGCTAGTGCTAGCAACTGTGGTGACAGTCGTAACAGCCGCTTGAGTGGTAGTCCGAGCCACCTGCTGCGTGATCGTTCCGACCCTCTGCAGGGTATATGTATCGCTTGGGGTGTCCGTGCTCGTGACTGTGCTTGTCGCTGTCATCCATAGTAATGAAAGCGGTACTTGTCCTTGTTACAACAGGCGACACAGTGCCAATTTTGGTAGATAAGATCAAATGAGTTACTGTGGTTCTGACTGTACTGAGTAGGTTCGTAGTGGTCTTGATATTCTTCGTCACGAAGACAGTTTTGGTGCTGACTGGAGTTACAGTGGAACTTACAGTGGAAGTGACGGTGCTTTGGATATAGGTAGAGCAGAAAGCGGACCCATTGGCCTTATTTTTCTGGAACGCTTGGTTATCCGGATCGCTGGCTTTACAGACTAGAGAAAGCTTAGTTAAGAATAGCGGAAGTAAGATGTGTTGCTAGTTTTACACGCCGGCTTCTAGGTCAACAGAGTTTCTCTTAACCGTTAGGTCCGAGAGCCCCCCATTTGAGTTACCATTGTACCTCTCAGTGATAGTGGGTAATGCGCTTGCTGCACTGATAAACACCAGCGCCAGCGTTTTCCTCAACGAAACCATTTTCACTTAGCAGAAAGTTCAAAAGTATCGAGTATATTGCAAGATAACTTGGTTCAAGATTGCGTGACTGGCAGATCTTGAGGTATACACGCTCACGCTTACGCTCAGACTCTTTGCCTTCATAGCTTCTTGTGTTTCAGCTGTCAACATGTAAGCCCTCTTCAATAGTTCAATTGTCATTCGGGCCTGGTTCTGCTATGGGCTTTGAAAATGGAGCTATACCACCTTAGCCAGTCGCTAAGTACTGGCAAATGGCCTGACACATCCAATAGTCTGTTGTCACAGGAATGGGGAGGCTTGAACTAGGTCCAATGTGGTAATTTTAGCAGAGTTGCGATGTCGTCTCGAGCAGTCCATGCAGCTAGCAGATGCTCTAAAAGGCCTCGATTGCGCTACGTTATAGAATTTTGATGGCTTTTGGTATCTGGCGTACACCGGCTTCCTGAGTAAATCATGAGTTGGACAAAGATATCACTGCTGCTCAGCTTGCCAATAGCTCAGAAGTAAAAGGTTCTTGTTATCAGGCATTTGAGAGTCGGGGCAGGAATAAAAAGTAATAAATTAGAAAGTCCCAAGACTTAGAGAAGGGCTAAAAGTCCAACGAGAAGAGAAAATACACTAGAGATCTGCTTGATAGCACCACTAACAACAGGGACAGTGCTGGAGGAAGAGCCTTCAGAACCTGAGGAGCCGGAACCCTCTGTGTCTCCTTGAGAACCAGAGCTTGAGCCTCCGTTCGAACTACCACCGTTGCCTCCACTGGAACCTCCGCTCGAACTACCACCGCTACCTCCACTGGAACCCCCGCTTGAACCCCCATTCGAGCCCGAGCTTGACCCTCCACTAGAACCGCCATTCGGGCTGGGATTATAGACTCCTCCGGAGCCTCCATGAGGAATAGTGGAGTTCCAGCTGATACCGTGATGAGGTCTCACAACGCCCTGTTGAGAAGGACATTCCAATGTGTTGCAGATGGGGACTTGGCCATTGCAGTTATCAGGCGTACCCCATGACTTCTCCCAAGGTTGATAGCTTATCTTTCCTTGTGCACATTTGCTACAATCGGATGGAGCATAATAAGACTTGTAGTTATACCAATCCGGGCATGGTTGAGGCTTGTAAACCTTGATGCCAGCGCATTTGCCGTCTGAGCAGGAATAGGGGACGTACTGTTGACCGCCAGGGCAGGGCTCAGAGATATAAACCCATTGACCGTCGCAATCGCTGCCATTTACCTCGATGAAGATGTAGACGGCAACGTTGTTCGAGCTGCTTGAATGGCATTGCCCATCAACGCATACCAGAGTGGCTGTGACGACCTCGGTGGCTATGCTTTCACCACTAACGACAGTGGTGAAAGTGGTAACAATGGTCTCCTGGTTTGTTACCGTTTGGGTGACAGACTCAGTAAGAGAGACAACAGCCTCGGCTCTAGCGTAAAGCGTGAGGAGGATGTTGCTAGCGACGGCCTGGCGGGCTCGAAGCTTGTTCGGGACTTCACCTCCACAGAATTGAGTCTTATCTCCCGGACATTCAATATCGCATTGGTCCAAGTTGTAAAAGACAGTACTGTCAAAGTCATAAACGTCACCGCAGTAGCAAGCACTAGATAATCATTAAGTAAAGCCTTTTTAAAATATGAGGATAAGACTTACGTATCATGGACGCCAAAATGAGCACGTCCTTTGCAAAGGCCAGCACATACATTGAGATCCATCGACGAGCTCGACTCGGCAAGGGTATAGGTAGGGAATCCAGCGGTAGATCCTGCGCATCCGAACAGACTGAAACCGCCGACATCACCAGGAAAACCGGCAGCAATCGAAGTAGAAGTTGAAGAGGCAGAAGAAACTGTACCAGTAGAAGTGCCAGTAGGGAAGAGAGTCTCACCCTCCGAGTTGGTTGTGGCACCCTCAGAGTTGGTGTTGACACCAGTAACAGTCTCAGTTGGGAAGACCGTCTCACCGTCTGAGTTAGTAGTGGCCCCTTCCGAGTTTGTAGCGATATCAGTTCCAGTAGGAAAGATAGTTTCACCGTTAGAGTTGGTCGTGAACCCTTGACTGTTGGTTTCAGTAGCAGTCCCAGTAGGCAAGATGGTCTCGCCTTCGGAGTTGGTAGTAAACTCTGCGCTGTTGGTCTCGGTAGAAGAACCAGTCTCACTGCCAGTAGGAACACCAATACTGGGTACAGAGATAGAAGTTGGAGTTGCACCCTGAGCATCCTTGAGCGTCACCGCTTCAATGATTACCGGGACGATTACATCGCCGCAAGCTTGTTGTAGTTTCAATTCATTCTCTAGTTGCAGAACGAAAGGGTTGGTAGATATTTCAATACTGCCACCAAAGCTTTCGGGAATAGGTTGAATCTGGATAACCTCACCATTGGCGATGACTTGGAAAGCACAAGGGCTACTTTCAGCCCGCTTCCTGGATGCGCTGGGGCAAGGGACTGCGTTAGGAGGAGGACCGCACGTGACATTTAGCGGGATCCTGTACGTGCTGAAGGTCGAAGCAGACGCTAGAGCTGAAGAGATTTGTTGTTTAAAGGAGGTAACTGCATTATTGGGAAGATTCAAGGGGGCGATAACCGGAAAAGGAACAGGACCAGCGCGACGCTTGAGGGTAGAGTCAGTGGACACAGGAGACATGAGACTAGACGCGTGGCATATTAGAGCTACTGCGGTTTTGATAATTTGTGGGTGATCTTTACATCGTATCGCCATCTGGTGGTGGGTAGAATGAAGCACCCGGGCCCAATATGGCGTCTTTGAGATTGAGTACAATTGGTGCAAAGGCTGGCGTTGAGGATGAAGCGGTGCTCTCGACACTGGTGGAAGTGGTCTCTATGCTCGTGGTAGGCGGGACAGAGGAAGTCTCGAGATCAGTGGGAGAGGTTGAGGTCTCGACAGCAGAGGTGCTCGTGTTTGTAAACCTGGTAAACTGGGTGAATTGGCCAAACGCACTAGAGGCGCTGACTAGGAGGAGGGCAGACGACAGGCGCATAGTGAAAATTGACAATTAATTGAATGAGCGACGGGAAACGAATGTGAAGATCAATTAGCGGCTGTGCGGACATGGGATGGGAATGGACTATATACACCAAGCTTTCCGATCAAGTAAATAAGTGACAACGTGCATGTCTCGCATGCGTGCAGAGCAGTTACATTCCAACGCAAACTTCACCTACGGTAACGGTTGTTCGGCATGGGGTAGTATGAGACATTTATTGTTCTCGTGTTCTTATCTCCCTATGGAGATGATGACAAGAATGCCTAAACTTCTTGGTCTAATTCTGTAGTATTGTTTTTAGCGAGAAGCTATGCCCCTTGCAGCGCTGGAATCTAATAAAACCCCTCTTTTCAGCCACATTTTAGTGGAATCTGGAATATGTCAGGGACAATACTTTAACTGCATTCCTATTACCGTTGAACTTACGGTTGTATTGGTTGCCGGTTTAAACTGCTAACAGCCACTGCAATGTCTTAGCCCATGAAACCGTCGATTCGTCTTGAGTCAAGCGCCGTAATAACGGAAAAACGGCATTTTAGCTGACCAATCTCTCGGGCCTCCTTCGAACATTCGACAGTCAGGAACAAGCCCTACAATGTTACCATTAATCACCTCAGCTCATACCTCATAGGGCGGAAGGAATTTCGGCCATGTTGACTTGAGAGTATGACGCAGCCCCACCTCCACAGCCAAAGCAAGCCCTTTTCACGTATTAAGTGTATTATTCGGTACATTATACGAATGATGCTAGGCTTTTGGCAGATACACTTCCTTGTTCTGACTCGACTAGTGAAGCAGCCTCGGAGCCGGGAGGCGAAACGGCATTAATAGGTAATTCTTAAAAGTTGCGTCGACTAAACGTTTCAATGAAATTCAAAGCAAAGACTTGGGGACTCTATCCTGCGCAGTAAGGACTTTTTCTTCGAATCCACTCTCCATATCGCCAAAGCACCATTGGCGCCACAAGACAGATTAACATGGCTGTACCCGCGAGAAGGCCATTTCCCCAGGCAATCCCAAGACGTTGATACATAGAAGGCGCAAACAGAGGAAAGCTAAAGCCAGCCATGGTGCGGACAAAAGCTGCTGCCCCAGTCGCACTGGCGGCATATCGCTCATAAGAGTCAATGATGTACGTCTGAGCACATTGGAATGACAGAATGAGCCCCGCGGAAAATATTGCTGTTCCGACATTTGGGATAATCCAGTGGAGTTTCAGGTGTGCCGAGACACCGTATAGAACAAGACCCGCTGGCGTGACAAGTGCGGTTGGAAACATTAGGGGTACGCGAAATTCAGGCCGTCCAGGGTGGTTGTATCGACTCTTGAGCATTGCATAAACCTTGAAGTGTCAGTGTAATATCGTAGGAGGAGAGAAGGTCAAGTACCTTGTCAATCAAGGGACCGGACACCTGAAGCCCAATGACAAACCCAATGCCGAGAGAGACATAGTTAAGACTGGCACGACCAGGCTCTTGGTTATATTGCTGCTCCCAGACCATGGGGAAGGATGCGAAACTAGCGACGCTTCAGTTGGCGCTAGTATGATGGGCGTCGAGGGCTTGAACTTACACCAGATACATCAGTCCATATAGATACGCCCTGTATAAGGCCGTGATCTGGATGGCTGGCTGCGTGAATAGCATCTTGAATGGTCTCTTCAAGTTGTTCAAAAGTAATGAAACAAATGATCGATCTCTCTGCTCAAATTCGGTATGGAGAAGCCTGTTACCAGTGACCTTGCGGAGCCTTGTGGCCTTGACCTTGAGGATCTTGGGTGGATAAGTCTCTTGCAAGAACAGGAACGCGAGGATCTGAACCACAGCATCAGCTATGGAGACTACCCAAAAGATCCAACGCCAGTTCAGGTGTTGGGTGAGGTAGCCAGCAGCTGGAGAGTTATTAGTGTGAAGGTGTTGTTAAGATTCGAGATGCCTTACCTATGGGTCCGACAGCAGGTCCCAGAAATGGGGCAAGGCTGTAGATGGCAGTCGCAGTTCCGCGCTCCTCCTTTCTCCAGCAGTCGCTCAGCACACCACCGCCAAGCTGGGTCCAAAATTAGTAATGAAGAATAAGGGACTAGGTATTGGTGATCATACCGCCTGAGGAGCACTGCCACCAAGACCGCTCAAGAAGCGAAAGACAAGCATCTGCTCCTTGGTCTTCGAGAAGCCACATACGGTGTTGAAGATGAGGTAAAACATGTTGGCAGACTGAAGAACGACAACTCTCCCGAACATCTCTGACAGGGGAGCGAGCAAGAATGGGCCAATGGCATAAGCCAAGAGGAAGATAGACATGAGAAGATATGTCTCAAAGTCAGATGAGATCTTGAACTCTTTGGCTAGATCTGGCAAGGCTGGTGCTAACATTGTTGAAGAAACGGGGGAGATGAATGTGAAACATGATACAAGAATTGTCGAGAGCCATTTCTTGCGCTTCGTCCAGTTGTGTGGATTAGAAGGATCATCGGGACCATCCCATATTACCTGAAAATGTGTCAACGGTCGGTGACCAAAGCGTGCAGGGATCTGATGGTTTCGATGAAGTCCAACTTACCAGGTTCGGATCCTCATCTTGAGGCAAGAGAAGGGGTTCTGGGACAGGATGGCGCTCCAAGTCTTCAGACGATTTTGCTGATCGGTCTGATTGGGTCGCAACATCCGGGTCTTCCGCCAGAGACGCCAGTGGCCTCGGGCGACTCGAACGGTTTGAGTCATAGCTGATGTCATGGTCATGATCACGTATCAGCCAAGGATAATTCTCACGAGACTTTTCATAGTAGGCCAAGTCTTCGAGCATGGGACTCCAGGACCTCCAAAGAGAGGAACGAGAGCCAGCTCTGGAGAGTGCTGGAGTATTGCTTTTGCTCATTGCTTGTAGGACAATAGCGAATGGGACAATGGCAAAGAAACGAATGTCGTTTGGAGGAGCTGTATAGACTACAAACAGTGATGACGGAACGAGAGAATGAGTAAGCGAGTGCAATTTGATCTGTTGATTCCTATTATAGGAGGGCTGAGATGCTCAATTATATCTTCACATCCTGCAATCGTTGGATCAGGATAAGAGGCTGTATCTTTAGCAACTAACGCTAAATCTGCAAAGATAAAGGCTCAGCCTGCACAAATGAGAAGAACAGCTCGCCCAAACCACGCCATTCCACATTATGTTACCGACTTGATGGCCGGAAAGTAAGTGCTGTCACGACTACACAGCCTGATTTCGTCACTGATGAGGCTACTGTCCCTACCACTCACTGTAGTGCTAGGCGTCTTTCCAAAATTGTTCGTGTCGCTGATTGAGTGATTACAGTGAATGAAAACCGTTTCAGCTGTTGATTGTCCATGGTCGTAATTAGGGTGGCTTAGAAGTTTCGTTTCGACTTAGCTTGGTTGGGTTGCGGCCATCTCATTTGCTTAAGCAGCATCGCCAAGACCTGAAGGCGGAAATCATATCGCGCATCTTCACGCCACGAGATTCGGGATATTTCAACATGCCGAGTTAATTGCCATACCGCTCCAGAGCCCTAGCCTTGGAGTGCAATTTGTGCGTGGGATCTAACGACAGTTTGTGTAATATTGTCATTTCGTTTTCATTTACTCTGGGGCTCACAAGCCATATCCTCAAAGCATATCGTGCGACCTCGCCAGCGGAGAACAAGCTTCTGGAATCTTCCGCAGCCAAAGATCTGCTCTAATGGGTTTTCTATAAATAAGCCTTTTGTGCATGGCGTGTCTCTTGTTGATTGGCAGAAGCATGATTCACGGAAGTTAGATAAGAACCAAGCAATGACGGCGCCTTTAGCACGCAACCTTGATGACGTTTAACTTTGGCATTGCCCACTCAAGCCACGAGACCTTGAATTAAGCTTAAATTTTATCCCTGCCACAGCTTCCATTGTCCTCCGCACTCTGACATGCCAAACTCATAAGCGAGCTGCCCAGTGACGATCTCCTCAGCCCTGCGATGAATGACGCGTCCCTTATCTGGACTCGCCTGATTGACCTTTGAGGCAAATCACCATATCAATGCATTCTATTTATGCCATGTGGCTTGGTGATCGCGTGACGCAAGCGCATTTCAGAATTGAGCTAAGATTTGTTTCAAGACAGAGTGGCAGACGACCTGTTGCTATTCTGGGGCATGTCCTGTCTGCGATGCTGGCTAGTGCAATTTCTTTTGTCGAGGCGGAGTGAGAAGATGGGACCATTCAGTAAATGAAATGCGGTCAATTGGGAGTAGAAACATGACGAAAGACAATAGAGCATCGGTGTATATAACGGTGCCGTATCCAGGGAGAGAATGAAGCGATTCAGAAGACCCAACCGCTTCATCTCCACATTCGCTATCAAAAACTTTAGCTGGAAAGCTTCCATTCGCTACAACAAGTCTATCGTTTATACATTACCAAACCCTCTTCATTGCCATCTCTCCACTTACGTACTCACTTTCAAAACCTATTCACACGAGCATAATGACAATGGGCTCCACTGTCGCTACGCCAAGTATGAGAGTCCTTGTCTGTCCGTCTGGCTTCAAGGGCAGCCTTCAGCCCAACGAGGCTGCAGACTGTATCGAAGCCGGTATCCTTGCCGTCGAACCTAATGCTTCGGTACGCAAAGTTCCGTTGGTTGATGGAGGTGAAGGTTTCACCCAAGCCATTGTCACAGCCACAGGCGGGTCAATGCACCGTGTACACGTGGTTGGACCTGTAGGAGAAGAAATCCCGTCATTCTTTGGCCTCCTTGGTCGCAAAGACGATGAACCAGCCACGGTGGTCCTTGAAATTGCTGCTGCTGCTGGCTTGAGCTTAGTCCCGCCCAACCGTCGCAATCCAGGCAAGACAACAACGTTTGGGGTTGGGCAACTCATCCTTGCGGCGCTTGATGCTGGAGCTACTCGCATTCTAATTGGGTGCGGTGATTCTGGGACGTGTGACGGTGGCGCGGGGATGCTTCAAGCTCTCGGTGCAAGACTGGTCGATACCCGAGGACGCGTCCTCCCCCTGGCTGGTGGTGGCGTGTCGCTCTTGGATCTTGGTTCCATTGACCTGACTGGGGTCGACAAGCGTGTCTTGAAAGCTAAAATTGACGTCGCTGTGAATTGGCATAATGTGCTCTGCGGACCAGGCGGAGTAGCAAATGTCTTCGGTCCCCAGAAAGGATCAACCCTAGAACAAGCCGCTCGTCTAAGTCTAGCCATGGAGAATCTGGCAGAAGTTGCTACAGGTATTCTCTGCGACAAAAACGTCCGACTTGCTCCTGGTGGCGGTGCCTCGGGAGGTCTTGGAACAGGCTTGCGCTTGGTAGGAGCTACACTCCGACCCAGATATGAGGTTATTATGCAGTACATCAACTTGCACAGTATCTTTGACGACTGCGATCTTGTACTTACTGCGGAGGGGGGCATTGACGATCAAACGCCGAGGGGAAAGATCCCCGCAGAAGTGGCCAGACTGGCCAAGAAACATGGACTTCCTGTGATTGCCATCGCTGGTACGATTGGACAGGGAGCGAGGGTGAACTATGATATCGGGATCGACGCGTTCACGTGCATTATCCAGCGGCCAATGAGCTTGGATGACGCGGTTTTGGAAGCGGAGAAATTGACCCGTGAGAGCGCTGAGACTGTGATGAGAATTGTTATGGTTGGGCGAATGCTAGGATGCCCTTGATGAGACACGTGTTATCTGAGTCTGTTTATGTTTTGGCTTAATTACATTGAACTTAGGAGTGATATGGCACCGGAACTCTATTGCTCAAGCTGTGCATTTTCCCAATGAGAACTTGTTTTGTTTATACGAGTAGCGGTTACCTCTATCTCAGGCTCCAGGACGTCACTATATAAGGACCTATCTTTAAGAGCTGATGTATATAATACTTAAGAAAATGAAGATAATGTAAGATTCTTCTACAGAGGCTAGATAAAAGTTTAAAAAGAGAAGTCTAAGTCCTTAGAGTTAGAAGGCTATAGATAACTGCGTCTTCTGTCATTATCTCTCATTTTTCTTTCTCCCTACTAACAAATTCTATAACTCCGCCTTCTGAAAAAAAAAAAAAACCACGCACCTATCTTACTCATCTTTTACAGCACTATCATCTGCTAATATGTGCTGTGGCGGCGGCGGCAGTAAGCGCAAGCACAGGGGCGGAGGAGGAGGAGGCGGCGCGATGATCAATAGTCTCGCGTATGGCCAAGCTATGGGTTTTCAGACGCCACCTCCCAGCCCGTCACGATTCAGTTCTAAAAGCAAGAGGCTCAACCACATCAAGGTGGAAGCAACGACAAGGCAACTCCAAGATACAGGCTCCCAAGCTTGGGATCAGTCGTTCTTTGGAGCGTCCAACGGCTTCCGGAAGGGAAAGTCAAGGCACAGAGCCAGCCAGGGCAGTGACGCGAGCCGGCGCTCCAACTTTGGCTCTAATGGCTCCATTCGTTCCACGGTAAGTCCTATCTAAGTTCAGAGTTACAATAGCATATCTAGCTCACGAATTAGACACCTACCAATCCCTGGCCACAACCTCTACCACAGAGTATGTTCGTTGGGAAGCCGTCGCGGGAAATGCCAACTCCAAGTCCTAGTTTCCGTGGAAAACTTAAAGCGTCAAAGGCTGGTCTAAACGGGATGGCACAAACCGCTGGGGGATTTGGTAAGGACCTTCTTGGACTGAATCGTGAGTTTTGAATATTGACGGGTTTTAGCTGATTACGGACATCAAGTGTCTGTGGCCGCTACACAGGCGGCTAGCAATTGGGGTAAGACAGCTTCCAAGACTAAATTAGGAGTCAGATATATTAACGCTTTTAGGTGATACTGGACGTCAATGGAATGCGGGAAAACGGCGTAAAGTGTTTTTCTAGTATAAGCTCTATATTCTGACACTTTTAGTCGAGGTTCCATGTTGCCTCGCATTAGAAACAAGACGCCAGTATATTTCGTGTCTGAGGCCTGAGTCGTGGCTCTGGAAATTCAGGTTGGGATGCGAAATGAAATGATGGACAACTCGCGTTTGACTGTGGAGGCGGTAGTTATTTGGTTCGGGGAGGACTATCGTGTTGGACGGCATTTATTCAACGCCAGGTTTGGAGTGGAAACTCATAGGGTTGATAAGTCAGGTTTTCGAGATTCTCGCTAGCTCAAGACACGAAAGAGACGAGCCATTCAATTAAATATATCTCTTATCCTCGATATCAATACATGTTATTCATTCCATATACTTTGTGGTCCCGCTTTCTTACTTGACACACAAACCTTGTCCCGGTTGGGAAATACAATGAGTGCGTCTGGAGCCTGCATCACAGTTGCTTCCACCTTTAGAGGCTTTACGAGCATGCCTGCCTTCCACTCGAGAGAAACAAGCCAACCTCCCATAGCCCTGACATGAGTCAGCTTCCCAGCTGCCCAAGACGACGGTAAGCTCGGAAGCAAATGTATCACGACGACCTGTCTTGACGGCTCAGATCTTAGGGTAGATTGGACCAGACACTCCAAGATCCCAGCACATCCGCCAAAGTTGCCGTCAATCTGGAATGGAGGATGATTATCCAGCATGTTTGCTAATGTCGATGTTTTGAGCAACAGATCCATGTGGTTTTCGCAACCTTCCGAATCTCGGAGACGTGCATGGAGATTCAGTAGCCATGCTCTGCTCCAGCCTGTATGACCTCCTCCGTGCTCCGCTCTTCTCGCAAGAACCTTTTTCGCAGCTTTGATCAGGAGCGGTGACGAGTCCATACTGATAGAGTCATCGGGATATAGGCCAAAGAGATGTGATACATGGCGATGTCCAGGTTCAGCTTCCTTGTGATTCTTCAAGCCCCATTCCTGTATGAGTCCATCTTTATTGAGTGACATGGGAGGGAGCTTATCGAGGGCTGTGATGACATCGTCCCGTCGCGGATGATCGGGGTCGAGTATACTGATGCTCCAAAGGAAACTTTCAAACGCAATGCGCACGATGGTCATGTCGATTACAGACCCTTCGCAGAAGATACCTGTCTCTCCTGACTGAGACACAAAGCTGTTTTCCGGGGACAATGATGGGTTGGTGACCAAGTATCTGCCGCAAGCTGATGGAATTAGAAAGTCAAGAAGAAACTGAACGCAGCCTTCAAGGATTGGAGCGATACGACAGTGCAGCGTGGGCTCGTACTGATATATGAGCATTCTGACAACATCGGTACACAGCCAGGCTCCACCGAGAGGCCAGATAGTAGCGGGCATCCACCGATCTTGGGGGTCCGTGTCAGCCCATATATCAGTGTTATGATGAGCGCACCATCCTTTGCAGTTGTACATCATCTTGGCTGTTCTCTTGCCTCTTTCCGCCATGCGTTCAAGGAGGCTGATGAGTGGTATAGCACATTGGATGAGACTGCATGGTATGGCTGGCCAATAGTTCATTTGGAGGTTGATGTTGATGGTGAACTTGGACCCCCACGGCGGTGAAAATGAAGGGTTCCATATTCCTTGTAATGTTGCCGGTAGAGCCTTTTCAGAGTTTCGACTTGAAGAGATGAGCAAATATCGACCGTAGTTATGATAAAGTGCTACTAGACCCGGGTCTCTGTTGCTGGCGATCCTCTTATTTGTTGGTAGATGGTTCGCGTCAGGGAATAACCGAAGGGACATTCGGCCGAAAAGGTTGGTATAATCGCATCGATGACGGCGGATGAGAGTTTCCCAAGGTTGTCGGAGAGCATCGTCAACGTTGAAAAGAGCTGATCGCTCGGGGTCCTCCTTTCTGAACGTGGTTTGCGCCCCAATAGCGATAACACATTTGGTAGCGTTGATAATTAGGCAATTTCCAACTGCCTCAACGGTCCCTTCGCTAGGTTGGCAGGAAACTCCAAGAACGAGAGACAAGCGATTACTATTCGCGCCGCCTGGTGTTGCGTTGAGAATAATCCGAGAGTCTTGGGCGAAGATGCTGTCTAGGTACTCGTTGGTCTCTCCCTCATTCTCGCTCAGCCGATTCAACCGTACGACGAAACGGCTTTTTTCGGATGCTTGGATTTGAATGGCGAGTACACTATCTGGGAAGCTGGCAATTACATCGCGGCAATAAGAGATACCGTTGTGTTTGTAACGTGTCGTGACTTGGGAAGTTTCCAGGTCGAGATACCGTGTGTAATCGGTCACCTCACTCTCTTCGTGATTAAACTCAATCTTGCATTGACCCAGTGGCTCATAATGTCTCGTGCTCGATGGCGTAGCAAAGAATGCTTCTTTAACAAGATCTTCTGCATCCTTGTGCTTCTCATCTCTGATCAGTTGTCTCAGAGTAGGTAAATTCTTGTGCGCATCGCGTGGTGTTCTGTCCTGCGGGCCGCCATACCAAACAGAGTCCTCATTGAGTTGGAGCAGCTCGGTCGACGTTCGCCCGTAGACCATAGCTCCCAGCCGACCGTTGCCAATGGGAAGAGCCTCAGACCACGAAGATGCGGGGGCGGCGTAATGCAAGAGCATGCCTTTGTCTTTGTCACTAGACTGGCCTTGGTCCATTGTGGATGATGACTGGATATGCGCGCCGTTTTGCCGCGATGGATTCATGGCGCTTGATGGTGGAAAAGGCGCATGGGATGATGATGCTGCTGGGGCTAGACTATTTGATGAGGGGAAGTTTGATGAATCTCTTGTGTTTTTGTTTGCCGAGCAGGGCCGATTGGTGATGGATTAGACCCAAAGAGGATGGTCAACCCCACAAACCCATGTGGACGGATGAACGGCCCATGGGGTAACGACGGGCTCAGCGATGTAATTGGAGGGATTATTATTTAAGTTGACGATTGTACCCACATGCCCCAGAGTCGTGAGTGGTTTAAAAACTGGAGGCATTTTAGCCGACATCGCACAGACTGCAGCTAGCTATCACGTACATACATGCAGCATTGGGCTGTGATCAGAACCCACCAAACAGAGGAAGTAAAGTCTAGTAGTGGTGTGATTCGAACTTTGTAGAGTGCGGTCTGCACTCGATCGGTTTGTCGATGTTCTCGTGCCGTACTTCACCTGGACAAAGTGCACTAACTAGGTCGAGACAATGGCGGCATAAAAGGCCTTCGCTGGACATTATATAAAGCCGATCTAAGGTCCAGCAGCAAAACACATGATTTAGGACTGCTATGTTCCTGAGCTTATAAGAGATCAGCACAATTATACAGGGTATCAATATGCCAATCCAGGCACGAAGAGCCTCTTTCGAGCGCCATAACATTTACCAAGATGTCCAAGCTGATGCAAACAAATCAGGCGTTGCTGTTGAAGAGATCGTCACAGCACGAATCACTGAAGACCATCTGATTACCAAGTCTCGGGAAGCTCTATCTCTCAAGTCCAGAGCTGGCTTTCGCATATTTCTCATCATGGTTACTATGGGATTCAATCAAGCTGCGTAAGTTCTTAAGCCGATTGAATAGATGTTGAACTGATACTCTATAGATATGGTATCGACTGGGGTGTCATTAGCAGTATCAACTCCAACACCTATTGGCATGACTACTTCGGCTTCGCAAACAGCGGCTCAACCCTCGGTGTCATCAATGCGCTCATGACCATCGGCAACTTTTGCGGCGCTCCTTTTCTTAGTCTTGCGGACAAGATTGGTCGTCGAAGCGTCAACTTTCTCGGTTGTTTTCTCACTATTGTTGCTTCTCTCATTCAGTGTTTTGCCCCGAATGTCAAGGTCTTTATGTTTGGCCGCTTTGTCCTTGGTTTTGGTACCGCGCTTTGCACGAGCTCACAGTACATCGCAGAGGTTGCGCCTCCTCATATTCGTGGACAGTGAGTTTGTCTCCGATGTCGGTTCTTGAACTGCTCAATAACATGTAGAATAGCATCGTTGGAATTTTCGGTGCCTTCTTCCAGGTTGGCTCTCTTGCCATCGTCGGTATCATGATGGGATTCACTCACTGGGAAAGTAACTGGAGCTGGAGAGTGGCGTTTCTTATCCAAGCCATCTTCCCGTTCTTTGTGTGCGTCACTATCTACTGGTTCTGCCCCGAATCACCACGATACATGATCATGAAAGGCCAAAGAGAAAAGGCTCGCACCATGATCTCCAAATACTTTACTTCTTCGGAAGACCCTAACCACCCATTTGTCGAGACCCTGATAGCTCAGATTGATGAGTCGATCGAGACTTCGGCGGTTGGCTTCCGTGCTGTCTGGGACTTCCGGGTCTTCTTCACCAAGGCTGTCGGCTTTCGAACCTTTGTCCTTCTCCTCTACTCGATCTTCCAACAGTGGAATGGTAAGCCTCGAACCCCGACTCACATGGTCCCTCTCTCTGACTCGTTATAGGTGGCGGTATTATTGGTCTCTACATGGACCCTGCGCTCCAAACAATCGGAATTACCAAGAAGCTCGACGTCTTAGGCATCACCCTAGGTCTAACTGCCACTTACTTTGTCTTCACTCTTTTCGGTGCCTACATCATCGAGTACTTTCGCAGACGAACTCTCATTTTCGTGGGGTTGATATGCATCATCATTGCGCAAACCGCTGTCACAATCACAAGTTGGCGGGTCAATGTGCAAGGAGACAGATACCTGTCTTATCTCACTGTTGTCTGGATCTATGGTTTCCAGGTCTGCAGTGCGTCTTTTATAGCCACGATGCACAATCTGTATCCAGTTGAACTGCTGTCTCTCCCTTTGAGAGCAAAGGGAATGGCACTGTACACGATGTTCCAGGTATGTTTTTGACAAAAAGATGTTATTTCGAATACTGACATTGGAAGGGCGCTGCTGGTGTTGTCCACAACTACGGTATTTCAGTTGGGATCCAGAAAGTTGGGTACAAGATTTGGGCGGTGTACATTGCGTATAACCTCATCCAGCTTGTCGTGGCTTACTTCATCTTCCCTGAGACTGGAAAGCTCAATTTGGAGGAGATTGACCACATTTTTGAGACCAAGAACACTAACCCCACCAAGCTGAGTGTCAAGATCGCAGATGCCAAATGGGCCTCGATCAAGGAGGAAAAGAGGCGGGCTCGTAACAATCCCATGGTAGCTTAGCCTTAGTCACAGCTGTACGTCTCAGTCAAGAATACTCACACAGTTCCAATACCCGGGTCGCCAGGCCGCAACAATGAGCAGTTGGTACCCTAGCCTCTTTCCGAGTAACTGTCAATTGATACGCGTATATGCACCCCGAACGACTTGTCACACGAATGCAGATCAAATGTAGTGTACCATACATTCTAAATATTCTCCTTCCGTTTCTAGCTATAGCTCAGGGAATGCAGAGCTAGCGGGTGATCTGCGAAGTGGATAAATGGGTAGACGGGCCGGTAAAAATAACACTCTTCTTTTGCAAGCGACACAAGATGGAAGCAAGGAAAATAGGATTCAGCAACGGATTCTTTTGTAGACCTCTCCCACAACCCGAACTTACATCAATTCAGTGACTTGGATCAAGCTCCTACCGCAAGTGACTCATCGTATACTCTCCATAGGCGTCAGACAATGATCTTGATTCGTGGGTAAATCGCCCCTCCGCCTCACTTGTGCAGCTTCCCGTTCCGGTGCAAGTGGCTGTTACCTGCGAGCGCTGAATTTTCACTTGTGTCAACCCTTCAACTCAGCTCACCCATCTTCCTATTCTTCATCAGTGGCAATGGTATCACTGGAGATGGGTTCTCAGCCATTTGACGAGTCTATCAGAGGTGCCTTACCTCCTGACTTTATTTGGGGGTTTGCCACTGCAGCAGCCCAAGTTGAAGGCGCGTGGAACAAGGATGGTAAAGGCGTTTCAATATGGGATACCTTTGCTCATACTCCAGGCAAGGTCAAAGATGGCAGTACGGGCGACGATGCTGTCAAGTCTTATGATCTTTACAAGACTGACGTTGAGTGGCTTCGCAAGTACAAGGTCACAGGTTACCGGTTCTCACTCTCATGGTCACGAATCATCCCCATGGGCGGCAAGGATGACCCTGTCAACGAGGAGGGTATATCATACTACAATCGACTGATTGACGAGCTCCTTGCAAACGACATCACTCCATTCGTCACGCTCTTCCACTGGGACATCCCTCAGGCTTTGGAAGATCGCTACGGAGGAATGCTAAACAAGGATGCGTACACTCCTGACTTTGTTCGTTATGCCCGGGTATGTTTTGAGCACTTCGGTGACCGTGTCAAGAACTGGATCACATACAATGAGCCTGGCGTCTATTCACTCGCTGGTTATGCTGCCGGAGTACACGCTCCAGGACGGTCCAGTTTTCGTGATCGCAATGAAGAAGGGGACAGCAGCACAGAACCCTTCATCGTCAGTCACACGGAGCTTGTGTCGCATGCCTACGTTGCCGACATGTATAAGCGCGAGTTCAAGCCCAAGCAAAATGGCAGTATCATGATTACCCTTCATGGTAATTGGTCTGAGCCCTGGGATATCGATGATCCGTTAGACCAAGAAGCAGCAGAACGAGCCAGAGAATTCGAGATCGCCTGGTTTGGTGACCCTTTGTACAAGACCGGTGATTATCCGGAGTCAATGCGTGCACAGCTGGGTGACCGTCTCCCGAGATTCACACCGGAAGAAAGCAAGCTTGTACTGGGGAGTTCAGAGTTTTATGGCATGAACTCGTACTCGGCCTTCTACGTCCGTCATCGCGACGGAACTGCTGATATCAATGACCACTTGGGCAACGTTGAAAAGCTTGATGAAAATAAGAAAGGGGAATGGCGAGGACCCATGAGCGACACATACTGGCTCCGAACTACTCCATGGGGCTGGGCTAAGTTACTCCGCTGGATCTGGAACCGCTATGGCATACCCATCTACATTACTGAGAATGGTACCACGGCGCAGGGTGAGCACGACTGGAAGCCAAACGGCCCCGATGATGTCTTGGAAGACCCCTTCAGGGTTGACTTCTACAAGAGCTACCTCACAGAAGTCGCCAAGGCATCACAGGGAGGCATTGTGATCAAGTCATACTTTGGGTGGACTTTTACCGATAACTGGGAATGGGCTGCTGGTTTCTCAGATCGCTTTGGGGCAACGTGGATTGATTTTGAGTCTGAAGATAAGACTAGGTATGCTAAGAGGTCTGGGTACTTTCTCGGGGCGTTTTTCGACCATCTCATTAGCAAGAATTGAGATAGTAACGATTTTAAGCTTTTTAGTGTTTAACCTGATTTCAGCAGGTGGTCTGATTCCAAGTCAAACCCTTGAGCTGTTCTTTTCACCGTATTTTAAATGGGTCTCGTAGCACCGCCAGCATTCCAGGCAGTTGGAATGCGGTGACCTATAACGCAAAGAGCAAATGCCTCCTTTGCAAGCCTTCAGCCACTAATGGGCCGGCGCGGACCGATATCCTTACCACTGGGCGGCCGAGTCTTCTGTGAAAATACAAGCTCTTAGCCAGAAGTCGAATATCGTCAATCAAGGGATAGAGGCAAACAGCAGCATCTGGTGACATGTCAATGTCCACGATGATATTTGAGGATATTAATTTCCTATCATACTGGCTAATTGGCGAGACACACGACATGGTAGAGACGCATCAACGCTGCATCTTTATATCGCCAGCAAATGGTTTTGTTTGAACAAAATTCTAGACCTAGAGTCTTCCTCTATTTCAGTGACATCGGCCGGACTCGCCGAACGGGCTTGAAGAAAGCGGCTTAGACATCAGTCAGGGGATATTACTAACAGATTTATCCATAGTCCCCTGTCTCGTTATGCAGCTAGTCCCTTTAGTTACTACACAAGCGATAAACTAGAAACTCTACTATCCAGTAGTGAGACAACGATATGGATAATAGAAAGGGCTAGACTCTTAGTTCTGATAGCATTCAAGTCTAGACTCTTAGTCCTGTAAGCCATTTTGGGTAGCTCCAGCTGAGTTCAGGACTGGAGGTGCTTTTGCATTGCTTTGGGTTAATATCATGCTTAACAGAGATGGGCTTTGGCTCCCTGATCTAAGTAGGTATTACTTCGGCATTCCACAAGGCACTGCATTGAGCATTTTAGCTAAATATCTATATACACTCTTTCTTGAAATAAACTCTGCTCTTCGATTGTATTGAAGTCTACTGAAAATTCATTTTATAACGTGTATTTTTAAAAATGGGTTTATTGAAGAGAGTTTTAATACTGCTCTTTATCACATCAGTATGCGCTTTTCCAGCTGTTGGTACTCTTGAAAGGGGAGACTCTCTGGAACCAAGAGCAGGTATATATATACAGCTTGGCCAACATAACTTGACTGACATTCCTTTCTCTCTACAGGGCTCTTTTGCAAAGCTTCAGATCCGGACAATAAAGCTTTTCAGAGCAATTCCATTGCTGGATCTGCCTTTTGCTCAACCTACCTTCGAAAAACAACAACCACTACTGTAACTCCTTCTACAACTATCACTTCCACTCAGACCGCATTATCAACAGCTACTGCAACTGTCTTCACTACCGTTTTGACAACATCCTCTATCAGCGTCTTTACTACTTCAACAAAGAAAGGGTCAACTTTAATCACACTAACCAAAACTGCGCTTGTTACTGATACTTTCGTCAAGACACTTACAGCCCAGGCAACAAGGCAAGTCACCAGTACAGTAACAAAAACGATGCCCATAACAGTCACATCTCATGTCAGCAAGACTGTGACTGTAGCAGCTACGACAATAGCGACGATTAATATTAATACTACAGTCACAAAGCTTGTAACCAATTCTCGTACCAATGTTGTTACTGGCACAACTACCGTTTGGGTCACGTAAGTACATCCAAGGCATACTGATATGAAAAGCTAATGATTACCTATTTAGCACTACGTGAGTTTGTGCTTTATTGAATCTTTCGGAACTTCCGATTGACCTTGAACAGAGCGTCCGCTCCAGTCGTGACCTCGGACCCAAGTATGTTCTTCCATTCATAGTGATTTATCTCGCGACTTGTTGACATTTCAGTCACGCTTTACTGCAGAATCCCAGGTTACGCGAAGTCCTCCGAATACATACTTTTCCAAGAGAATAACTTTCCTGACGCCAGCTTTTCTACCTGCAAGAGTTTTTGCTTGGCCCAACAGGAGGATGTTCCTGTTTATAGTTTCGGCTTTACTTCTCGCGCTTGTTACTGCTATAGCGAGCCAGTGTAAGTAGATCTGTTCTAGCCTTGCCTCGAATTGTTAGACTTATGACTAAACAACTTTAGACTGGATGCAGTTGACCGCGACTCGAACCTGGTAGCTATAAATTACGATATGTCCTGTGAATCTGCGGACGAGGTTAGTGAAATCTTTAAATATAGAGATTGGCAGGACATGCTAACATTACTTAAGGACAACTCCCAGCCTGACAAGCGGGAATTCCAGAAGCGTGCTGTCAAGACTACAATACCAAGCTATCTGCCCAATAAAACGCCTAGTGTTGTCAGCAGTGCCTGCTCGTGCTTAATCACCAAACCTGCTGCTCGCCAGACCTTGACCGTTTTTGACGACCCCACGACTATTCAAACAACAATGACGACAACTAAGGTGGTAACGATCAATAAGAAGAAAACTACTCTTGCTACTACACGTCAGACTGTTACTTCAATAGTATTGACCACTTTGATAGCGACAGGAACTCAGACTGCAACCATAACTCAGCATACAGTCAGCACTATTACCAAGCCGGTTACTGTCTTTATTACAAACTTCAATACTGTCACTGTAATACAGACTTCTACCTCTTCTACAGTCAAAACCGATACTATCCCTATTACCAAGGTCAATACTGTCCCTTGGACTCGCCTGAGCACTGTTTTTGTCACCAATGGAGTAACCACTACAGTCATTCGAACTGCCCCGACCCCGCGAACCGTAACGTCTATTGTCACGCAAGAGGCATCTACCAGGACTTATGTCAGCGAAATTACAATCTGGGGCACTATAGCGCCCGATTCAACGACCAAAGATGCAACAACTACAAGTATACATGCAATTATACCTCCTCCAAATTCATCTTTCAGCGCGTCTGCGGAAACGCCTGCCACGCCTTCGAGGTCGAGTACGCCTATGGTCACACCAGCGAGAACTTCAAGCTCGAGTACATCCACAAGCACCCCGAGTTGGAAGGTGCTGGACAACAACGCTGCGGCCGCCAAAATTGTTGCTGATGGTCCCGATCTCTACCAGATGCATACGTCTGGATATATCTGGATGTATACAGGTACCCCTATTACTGGTTGGCGACTATTGGGCAACCAGGCTTCAACCACCAAGGTTTCTACCTCAAACGGTAATCTCTACCAGCTTCGAAATACCGGGGAGATTTACAAGTATACTGGTACTCCAGTGACGGGTTGGAAGTTGCTCGACAACAACGCTGCCGCTCTCGATATCGTAGCCAGCGGTAACGACCTATACCAACTCCATAAATCCGGCTACATCTATAAGTACACGGGCACTCCTATCACTGGATGGCAACAGGTTGGCAACAGTATGGATACCAAGAAGATTGCCGCTTCCGGGGGAAGTCTCTACCGACTCGACAGTGGCGGCCTTATCTGGAAGTACAATGGAGTACCCATCACTGGATGGGATAAGCTGAGAGGCGACTCAAGCGCCATGGATATTGTGGTACGAGGTGCTGATCTCTATGAGCTTGATACCTCTGGAAGTATTTGGCAATACACTGGCGTTCCGATAAGCGGCTGGAGGCAACTCGATAACAATTTCCGGACGAAGCAGATTGCTGCCGGAGCCGAAGGGTTTTATCAGATTCATACCAACGGAAATATCTGGCAATATACCGGCACGCCCATCACTGGCTGGAAGCTACTGGATGGAAACACTACCTCCACCTATATTACAGCAGGCGACTCACTCTACCAGCTTCGCAGTACAGGTTACATTCTGCAGTACACTGCGTAGGTTCGTCAGTTGAGGTTTTGATGGTCGAGGTTCAGGTAGCTATTCATTATGGAACAGAAAAAGACAGCTAAAGGAGCAAAGGAGGGGATTTTGTGGAAAAACACTCGCTTGAAGGAAACAGATTGGCAGAGGAGTGAATGTAGAGAACTTCCAGGGTAAGACCACGACGAGGAGAAATTGATGTGCATTCTTTTGTAACCAGATCGTTCATTAAGCTGTTTGTTAGATCACCCATTTTCAATTTTATTAAACGTAAAGAATGTCGTTCAGAATGAAAATTGCTTATCCATATAAAAAGAGACCTATTCAGTGGTGATGTCTTGAATTTCCAACCATTTTACAAATACTTCTGCAGGGTAGGTAGAGTGGCGACAGGCACCGAGAGCGAGGAACGATGAGCTACGCCACTGTATCTTAGTGTCGATCATATTGAGCCGTGCATCCGACTGCCCTAGGCGACGCGCTGCATTTAGTTAGGCCAGATCAAGGCCACAAAACAGCGATGGCCCAGTTCATCTTCAGTTGCTCGTAGAAAAAGGTGCAGTTACACGCTTGCTTCAAATGCGACACCTCATATGATATTTCTATCACGTACCAAGGCACGTAGTGATCCCAGGTCAAGTTCACATTTCTTCGAATAGACCCCAAGTTAAATCTCTCAATGTCGTTTTTGGTCTTGGGCGCCACTCAATCTCACTAGTGGTCAACCTTTGCGTTTGGAATGTGTTTGCATTTGGCATCAAGTCGTCTGGACTCAATGACCCACGCCACAAAAGCTTTGACGCGTACATGTGATATTATTTCCGTGTCAGCTCCCATGCCCTCATCCTGCTTTGATCCATCCCCCAGAAGCGCGATAATGAGTGGTTGCTAAACGAGAGTGCTTCATCACCAAAGAAGCAAAATGCTCATATCTGTCGGAATAGTGTGTTCAATGTACTTTTCTCTTTTTGACCGAGAACCTTATACTGACGTCTTGACAGGCCATTCAAGCAGTGTTATTGGGAGCATCGCTCTTTGTAGTTATTCTTCGATGCTGGACCCGACTGTACTATGAGAAGAAGAAGCTCTCTCTGTCTGAGTACTTTGCTTGGATGGGCTGGATCTTCGCCTTGGGATGGTTCATAACTTCGACACTCTCCATGCTCATTCTGGTTCGTCATCCCCCGGAGGGCTCAGATGGTCTCATCCCTAGTGTTGATTATCAGAAGGTGAGTGACTTTGAAAGCTCTCGGCGTTATACGTTCACTAATTCTCGATTCTAGATAGTCTGGGTAGCTGCATACTTCTTTGACACAGGAATCTACTGGCCGAAACTCTCTATCCTCGCCTTCTATTGGTATCTTATACCAGATGTATTCCAATCCTTGAGAGTGGCACTATACATGATCTCGGCATACCTGCTCTCTTGTATGACAACATCAATCCTTCTCAACACTCTGATAGCGAGACCGATCTCAGACAATTGGTAAGACTGCCACCATCAATCTTTTGAATTTAAAATTACGGCTAACTTGGCCAGGTCAGTTGAGAACCAGCTGAACTCGGCTTGGAACTCCCTGCCCAACTTTCTGACGCAGTGGTGTCTGAACTTCTCGACAGATCTAATGTGTGAGTTAACAACTTGATTCTTTTGGTCAAGGCTCTCCCAGAAGATAAGGGTAGACTGACAAGGGCTCAGTGTTCTGCTTTCCATTCTTCATTCTCAAACATCTTACTTTACGCACTGAGCAGAAACTTGGTCTCGTTGGCGTCTTTTCCCTTGGTGGAATCACGATGTCAGCTAGTCTTGCCCGCTTCATCATCAGCAACGCAGCGGATTATCAGCTTGATTACCCATCGGGTAGTAGGTACACACTTGAATGATGTCGATAGATACTAACCGCCCCAAGATGCCCTCTGCATGGCCGAAATGGCGACTGCGGTTATCGTTGTCTGCCTCCCTGGCCTGAAGAAATTGATCATGCGATCGAGATCAACTACCAACACGACGAGTCAAGGGTCCAACTCGAACCAGTTAAGCTCGGGCCACTCTTCGAACATGACGGCGTCCAAATCGAGGACGGCATCGCAGTCTTATGCGGAATGGGGGGTCATGGATGATGAGATTGAGTTGCCTAGTCATCCCCAGAAATCTCATTTGCCAGGTGAACTAAAGGATGTGGGGAACCTCCTGTAGTACCATTTCAGATATGGAGTCAATAGCTGCAAGCAATAATATTATATACTAAGAAGTACCTCCTCTATCGAACTGATGCACTGTAGAAGAGATATTGAAGGGCACCTGTTCAACCTTATCCTCATGGTGCTTTAGAATACAGAACTTCTCCATCCTTCTTAAACCCTGCGATCACGTTCTGTCCCTTGTCGCTGACAAGCCACTTGATAAATGCGGCCGCCTCTTTAGCATTGGGTGCCTTCTCACCAATCAATGCATGAGCGGGATTCAGCAATAGGTCATCCGCCTTGTCAGTGCCCGCTTTGTAAATGACAGTCTGATTCCTGAGATCTGCATCAAGGGACAGGATGGTTCCACGGTCAGTGACAGTATACTCCTGCAGGATGATGGCCGCTGTAAGAGCTTGGATCGGGAAAGCAATGTATTGGTGATACCATGTTGAGTAGGCAGTCGCCCAAGGAACTTGCCCTATGCCGGCCCATAGCAAGGTCTCTTTAATGTTGGTAGCGGACTTGTCATAACGGCTTAGGAACCGAACAGGAGGTTCAGTAGCAGGGCCTTCAGCTGCTTCGTGGAGATTGGCGAATATGGTCATTATGTCATCACTTTTGGAGATATTTGCGGGATTCTCCTTAGGTCCGACGAGAAGAAAGTGGTCTCGGAAAGCGTAGTAGCTTGGACTTTTGGCGATGCCTTGCTTGATGGCAATCTCTTCCGCAGGTGGATTGTACGTAATACCGATGTCAGCCTCGCCCGTCTTCAGATACTGAATGCTGTAGGTGGTGTCGCTCTTGATCCATCCCACCTGGAATGGTTTCTCGCCGTCTCCAACGCGGCTTTTGATGTATGCATTCGCAAGCTCTGGCCATCTGTATTAGCATCGTTCGAGTCATAGGCGAGGTGTTCTCACCCTTGATCAAGCCGCTCTGACCAGCTCCTCCGTTGGCAATAAGCAACTTGATGGAGTCATTCTTGTTGTGATCAAAGCCGCCTCCATAAACCGCATCGGGAGTTACTGCCAGGCAGTTACTAACGAGAAGAGAGACTGCGAGTAAAAAGAGTTTCATGCTGGGCTCTTGGTGAAGATGACTAAACGGATAAGAAGGGGGAGGGAAATTCAGAAATTGAAATAATCGTGGAGGGAAGATCATAGTTATACCATTGGCAGTGCGGGTGACTAGTAAGGTAATGCAGGCCTCACAAGATTGTCATGTCTCGCTTCAGCTGAGACTATTAATTTGGTCAACGCGCTACCGGCAATACCATAGAAACGGGAAAGACATGGAGGATTGCTAAGTGACAATAATACTTGGGTACTCTTGGCGTCAATCTGGGAAGACATTTCACTGGTTATTTTGACCCCAATTGAAGATCTAAGGTTGTGTTGATCCGTGGGGTCGCGATGACAAGCCGTGTCAGGAGGCGCAAACAGACTGGGATGCAGTAAGCACTAAGTAGCTGGGCATCCCTGCTAAATTGCTGTGAATCTGGTAATTGATAGACGCGGCTGAAGTTGGGTCAACTAAAATCAAGATTGATCGCCAAATACCACCGAGTTATTGACTCTTGGCAACAGCAGTTACGCAAAAATGAGTATGGCCTTTCAGACCGCCCATCCATTATTATTCCTATCCGATCGCTGCCAGTTTGTCACTCGAATTTTTGTAATTAGCTTGCAGGCGTGTCAGCAAGAGATAGAAGGCCTCAGGGAGCAAGAAAATATAAGACTTTAGAAGAGGGTGCCTAAATAAATTTAATAAAGATTTACCTAAACTTAGACTAAATTATATAAGCCTTTTCATCACTTAGGATAAAGCTCTCAAGTTTTCTTACGTCCCCCTGGAAGGTAATTTTTGTTCTGTCTGGCGAATTGCACATACAACTAATTTCCCCACTTCTCTTCCACGTGCGTTATTTATTTATTTATTTCCTCCTTTCAACACCCTCTTTGCTAAAGACGCCGACGATGAGTGGCAGCAAACTGCAGTCAACAGCGGATACAGAGCCTCCGGCAACTACATCGGATTCATCCTTTCACGGCTTTCCCAATTTACCAGTAGAGTTGCGGCTAAGAATCTGGCGCTACTCTTTTCTTCCCCGCTGCGTTGAACTCCATGCCCGCAGATCACATTACGCCGATACCTTCCAACACGGTGGGGTGCCAAAATGGCAAAGTCGATGTTATAATCCAGCCTCGCTGTCAGTGAATCTCGAGGCGAGATCTATTGCAATAGACCATTATCGTGTTAAACTCCCCCTCGCGACAATTACGCCGTATGAGCATGCTGGCGATGACATAAACGACCCAAATCGCGTGCTGTACATTAACCCTGCTGTCGACACCGTCGCTGTACTCGGTGATCTGGACTACAGCAGAATCTCACAACTGCTGAAAGGCTTGCGAGTCAGTGATCCGGAGGGAAACGGTTTGCAGAAATTCGCTGTCAGCGCCAGCTGGACGTATCATCAAGGAGCAGGTGACACGATCAGGATGTTAGTCAAGCACATGTTTCCCGAGCTAGAAGAGATGACTGTGTTTATGTATGATGAGAAAATGCCTCCTGCGGACTGGACTGGTGGAACGTGTGAACTGAAAGATTGTAGCCATACAGACTACTACAAACGTTACGCGATGGGAAGAGGCCATCAAATGAGGGATGGCGATAAATGGATGGTTATTGGGAGGAAAGAGTTGAGGGTGATGGAGCTGTGTTTCAGGCAAGGATGGTAGTGATGTTGATTCATTGCCAGTTGAAGCTTAAGATATCTCAACGAGATATCAAGACAATACCCAGTCAGTGAAGATGAGTCTCTCAATTGAACACACGTTAAGAGATTGATTAGCTTTCTATTATTACGTGCCAATGGCCTTTTTCCAAACCTCAGACAGCTGAAGTGACCTGGTCAGAGCCTCAATGTTCTCATCTTTAGTTCCATTGACATCAATCTATAAACATTAGCCTGCATCCCTCATTCAAGCGTAGTCGAGTACCTACAGATACCAAGATACGACGCTTGCGATATTCTTCCTCGACTGGGACGGTCTCCAGCTCATACTCGACAAAGCGCTTGTCAAACTTATGTGCGCTGTCGTTCGCGTCTCTGGCCCGACCGAGATATCTGTCTCTGGCGTTTTGTTTTGTGATCTGAAAAGATAGTACGAGATCCGGCTTAATGTCGAGGCTGATCTTGCCGTCATCACCTGGAGCGAGAGGCACCTGGTCGTGGTAAGGCCATGTCCCAAACGACTCCAATTGTTCAATGCATCGTGGATATCCGTCGACCAAGATACCCTTCACCTCTGGGTCACTGCGATTGATGGCGTTTAGAATTTCGCGGTAAATGAATGGGTTGAGATCCTCAGAAGTCAGAAAGCCTTGATTGTCAAGCTTGCTCTGAATCTTGGCGGCAAGTTCGGTGGAGCGATTCACGCGCATCCACGCGCGAAGGCCATCACCGACTGAGTAGTGTACGAGATTGTATTTTTGGGCGAGAAAAGCTGACACCGTGCCTTTCCCCGCACCCGGAGCCCCTAGAGCATGGTCAGAAACGGCAGATGAGATAAGTGGAGGGGGGAAATGACTGTACCAATGATGAAGACGAGGGCAAAGCTGCGGCTCTTACCGCCTGATTCGGCGTGGAGCTTCATGGTCCTGTTAGTTTGAAGATGGTGGTGGTGCTGGGCTGTTGCTGAGGCATTAATCTTATCGTGACACAGCCTCGAGTAACACAAACCCAACCCAATTGACAGTGAATCATTACCAATCTTTCAGAGATCGAAATGGCCTCACGTACGGGGACCTCAATGCCCCCGCTCCACTTGACTTTTGAGAACCCTAAACCTCACTTCTGTGCATTATTCACCAGCCGAAAGACGGCTCCCTACTAGACAGTGAATATCTGCGACTGATCTTGTTTACGTTCCTTTAACCACACGTACCAAAACATGGCGCTTCTTTCCCTTCTCCGCGAACTTCACCTACTGTCTAGCTTTATTATTGGTGTTGTTGGTGTCTTGGGTATTGGCTGGATCATATCTCGAAAACAGTCCAAGACAGAGGCTGCTGGACTTCCCCCCAACGATTTCACCAAGGAATCCAATATTCCTGTGTCGGTCAATTACTTTCCCTCTCAAAAATGCAACTACACCTGCGGATTCTACTTCCATACCTATACCTCATCTTACGTCCTCCCGATTGATGAAGCGAAGCGCGGCTTGAAACTTTTGAGAGAAGCTGGCATGCGAAAGCTCAATATTGCTGGTGGCGAGCCATTCCTCTACCCTCGTCGCTTGACTGAACTGCTCAAGTTTGGCAAGGAGGAACTGGGCCTCGAAAGCATCAGCATCGTGAGCAACGGCAGCAAGATTACAGAGAAATGGATGCGTGAGAATTGCCAATGGCTGGATATTCTTGCAGTCTCATGCGATTCTTTCAACCCGGAGACGAACAAGAAGATTGGACGGGGCGACGACGGAGGGAATGTGATCCAGCTCTTCCGCATTGCGGAATGGTTCAGGGACTATGGCATCAAGTTCAAGTTGAACACTGTTGTCAACATCCACAATTGGAATGAAGACATGTCAGCTGAGATTGAGAGACTTGGCCCCTTTCGATGGAAAGTGTTCCAGTGTCTCATCGTTGCTGGTGAGAATGAGAACGCGACCCGACTGCGAGATGCGACAACGTTCCTCGTGACCTACGAACAATGGAAGACATTCTGCGACCGGCATAAACATCTTCCGTGCTATGTTCCAGAAGATACAAATGCCATGGCGAACAGCTACTTACTTCTGGATGAGTACATGTGCTTTTTGGACAAGGGAGAGGGCATGATGATAAAGAGCGAGTCGATCTTGAAGGTCGGCGTTGAGAAAGCAATGAGTCAGGTTGTCTGGGACAAGGGTTCTTTTCTCGATCGCGGTGGCATTTACGACTGGGGCAGATCCGATGTGGCGAAGGAAGGTGGATGCGGCGGCGGGAGTAATGAAAAGCTGCAGTGGTGATAGTCAATCGCATCGACGTCTCCGTTTAGACCGGCTGGGGAGTCAGCTTCGGAAAGCATGATAGTGTCGGAAACTGTATCGACACTGGCGATAGGTGTAAACATGAGCGAAGGACGAAAACGATTCGTCCTCGCATAATCCTTCCTCAGTCGGTCTAGTGCTTCACCTCATAACGCGATTCCTTATCTGGTTTAAGCTTATCCTTTACCACATGACAACGCCTCCGCACTCGCATTGAGATATCGGCTTCGCCTAGCATATCAAACGCGGGGAACAAGTTGGTGTAAGTCACCAAATGCCCCTACCGAACCGTTATCTTGCATGACGCGGGTCAAATTATATAACGTATGACATTGCCCACGAATCCATTTGCCTCTAGAGACAGATTCTTATTCGCTCTCCTGTACTACCATTGTTCGATTCACCATGCGCCGCGAAACAGATCAACCGAGTCTCAAGTCACAAGATACCAAAGAGGTCTCGGAAATGCCCGCCAAGACAGACAGAGATGCCGTTGAATGCGGATCAATTGCTCCTGGCGGTGTTACTGTTCAGACCTTGAAACCGTTCACAACTTTATCTGCACTCGGCATTGGCTATGGCACCACCAACACCGCCGTCGGACTCCTTCTCGTCCTTGGAAGCACTCTTCCAATGGGTGGTACACCTCTCTTCTTTTGGGGGTTCCTTGTCATGGCGGGTGTTGGTCTTGCAACAGCTACAACATTGGCAGAGCTTGCATCGGCCATGCCTCATCCCGGTGGACAGTATATCTGGGTCAATCGTTTATCCCCTCCCCGATATCGCCGCTTTCTGTCGTACACGATCGCTGTTGTCAGTTGGCTTGCTGCAGTTGCTACAGGTGCTTCGGCATGTCTATCGGTACCTACGGGCTTCTGTGCCATCATCTCCCTGCTCAATCCCAACTTTGTCTACAAGCGTTGGATGGGATTTGTTGGATTTCAACTGTTGAATATCTTGACCGTCATATGCGCCAGCTTCGAGCATGCCCTCCCACGAATCTCAAAGATCATGCTCCTCTTCAGCTGTATGACAATCGGTGTTATTTTCATCACGCTGTTTGCCATGTCTGACAGCCATGCTTCAGCAAAGGACTACTTCACAACATCGGTCAATATTTCGGGATGGCCAAAGGGAATTGCCTTTATCATCGGAATGAATGGTGCCAATTGGAGTTTCTCGTGTCTCGACGTCGCCACCCATTTGGCTGAAGAAATGCCATCGCCCAGCACCGATATTCCCAAAGCTCTGATGTGGACTATCGTTGTCGGATTTGGGTCTGGGCTCTTGGTTGTGACTTCGGTTCTTATCAACGTACCAACCATAGATGGAGCTGCGGATAACTCAGCTCTTTCTCTGTTCTACATGATTACCAAGAGCAAGGCGGCTGCTGTGGGCTTGTGGATTCCTGTTCTCATCACAACGGCTGGCGCAGTTTGGTCGATCCAGACATGGCAGTCCCGTCTTGCTTGGACCATCAGTCGCGAAGGTGGCTTTCCATTGCATCACCATCTCAGCAAGCTTGCGCCTGCTCCCTTTCATACGCCCATCTGGTCGCTGATCTGGTCTGCTTCTGGAACTGCCCTCTTCGGCTGCCTCTACCTTGGTTCAGATCTTGCCTTCAACTCTTTGATCTCGACGGGCCTGTTGCTCCAATACATTAGCTACAGCGTCCCTGTCGTTTTGGTTCTTTTGCAAGGACGCAGCAACTTTCAACATGGTCCGTTCTGGTACCCTAAGCTTGGACTGATTGCCAATATTGTCATGCTGTCATGGACAATGGTGGCTCTTGTTTTTTATTGCTTCCCTTATTATACACCTGTCACGGCTGTGCAGATGAATTATGCTTCCCCCGTTTTGGTGGGAATTTCTCTCTTGTCTTTGTGCTTCTGGTTCTTCCATGCGAAGAGGAATTATGAAGTAAAGGAGATTTTGGATGCTTGAGGAGTATATGGAGTAGATAATATTTAATTCATGTTTTGGCGTATACGTGCAAGCATATTTGGAGACGTTTGGACCTCAACACTGCGGTCCGAACTTCGGATAATCCCTCGAAAACGGCGTGCACCAGTAATTCCTTAATTGATCCACAGCCATATAACTGATTGAACTTCTGCAATGCCAAATACAAAAGTCAGCTCTGTGTTGATCTCACATCTCTCAGAGGCGCTAAGTCAGATGATCCGAGTTCTGGAGCTTGCTAGCACAGGCACTAACTAACTAACTTATCGTAAAAGCGGGGAATTCCACCATCTTCATCTTGTAACATCTTCCCCTTGTCACATTCTCATCTCCCTTCAATCCTACAAGATCTTGACTGAGCCACTTCGGCCCTCACGCGGGTTGACAATGCAGCAATCGATCAAAACCCCACACTCAAAGTCTCGCAATGGGTGTATCAGGTGCAAGGCAAGAAAGGTGAGCACACCCAAAGACATGCGCGCTCTCAACTGACATCTTGAGAGGTTAAATGCGACGAGCGGAAGCCTGCTTGCACGCGATGCGAAGACCAAAACTATGAGTGCCCAGGATATGCACTCAATGTGCGTTGGTCACAAAAGCACCAGACAAGGCCGAACACTGGTGAGAGCTCTTTGCGACAAAGGAAAGCAAAGAGTCGTATCAATACTTCTTCCAACTCGGTAGCCGAGGGTTTTCATCAGATGAACGGATGGCTCGATTCCCCATCTCAACTGGACTTTCTCATGCCAGCAGAGATGTTCAGCGTTGAAAATCTGTCGCAAGACCTCCTAGGAGCTGAATCCTCGTCGCGGATCGACGACAACAACATACTCGATTCGCCTGGCGGAAACTTGACAGTTTGGACTCTTGCTGAGGACTCAGGGTCAACATTCAGCATTGAAGAACCAATGGGACTGATCGGACAGCTGTTTGGTGATTCCACGAGCCACCCAATGTTTCAGCCTCAGAACCCATTGCAGGAAGAGCAAGCTCTCGTCCAGTCTCGATATTCATGCCCTAACCCGCACCGACGCATGTCCAACACCCCAACCACTCTATCTGAATACTTTTTCCGAGAAGTTATTACTCTCTACTGTTCTTGGGATAGTGAACAAAATGTTATGCGCAATATCGTAGAGAAAATGTGGCAATCTTCCGGTGTGCTCTATCATACCATACAGAGCATGGCTGCAGCATGCTTGTCAAAAGACTTCCCGCACCTGCTACCGGTTGCTCGTGAGGAGCGTTCACAAGCACTTCAACTTGTGAAGAATGGACCTCCGGAGATGGAGAAGCAGGTAATGCTGCTTGCATCCATGCTGCTTGGCCATACATCGAGCTGGCTAAGCCCTCACAACCTTGCAACAGAGACCTTTCGAGCAAGCCAAAACATACTGGATGAAATTGCCACCGACAATAGTGACAGCTCGGAGATGTCCTTCTTTAGAGACACCATGGACTATTGGGCTATGCTTCTTGTCTATCTTACTGACAAGAACGAGCTGGGAAAGTACCATCGAGAGGAACGGATTGGGCCATTAAACTTGATGAAACCAATCGAACCACATCCCTACTCTGGCATTTCACAAGATATGGTTCGTGCACTGACCGATACGGGGATACTCATATTCCAATATCGAAAACATATGTCCACCACGAAGTTCATGACGGAAAGCGATCTTGACGTGTTCAGAACTGCATTGCGTGAGGGCAGACGACTGGAACGCACATTCTTAGCACACCAGGTGCCGAGTGCAGTACACACCAAGAACCCTGGCGATCCCAAGACACCACTGAAGCATTTGGAGCTTATGGATGAAGCGTATCGATGTACAGGGCTATTGCAGCTGTATCGAGTCTTTCCCGATCTTTTGAACGAACGATACTCACCGTGGAGCAAGGATCACATTCTACGCCCTTCACCAGCACATCAAGTGCCCACAAAACAAGAGAGACAGCTGTGGCTGACACAATTTGCTTTGCATATCCTTGGTATCTTGGAAGAGATTCCGTTTGAGTCAAGGACTCGCAGTGCTCAGCCGTTCGTTATGGTTGCTATATCCGGTGAACTCAGGCAGACTTGTCAGAGTTTTCATGGCTCCGACGTGTCCATCACAGACCCGGGGATTTTGAGCATTGATGGTGTGTCTATTGAAGTGGCCCGTGCTCGGAAGTTTGTAAGCTCCCGGCTGTCAGCGTATACACACATTCTGCCCTTGCGAAAGAGCCAGGTTATTCTGGAGCTCATCAATCAAGTTTGGTCGGCAATTGATGATGGCCAGGAGGATGCTTATTGGTTGGATATCGCTTACGAGAAGAAATTGGGCACAATGATGGGGTAGTGTACTTGGTAGTTGAAGGTTATTCCGAGGGTTTTCATGATGCTATAGTCTATTCTATGTCGCTGTTCAATACCTTACAACTTCCCATCCCTGGCACCGCCAGGAAGAGCAATTTTTGCAAACTTGAGCAACGTTTGATCAGCTGTCAGCTTAGTATGGAGACGTTCTTCTGTGACGAGGAATGCTCGAGGAAACCAGCCGCTGACATCCTCACCAAGCATCATTTTAACCAACGCCTCACCTGTCAGCCAGCATTTGTCCATCCCGTACCCGTTAAATCCTGCGGCTATCCATTGTCCATCGTCACCCATAGTTCCCGTCAGAGACTCCGGTATCCTGCCAACTATAGGAAGTCCATCTGCTGTGTGACCTTGAATGCCCGACCAAATGGACTCGATCTCCGAAACGGCTTGTGACCCCCAGCCATTTAGAAACAGTTTTGGTAAGACAGTAGAGAGTGCCTGCCTTGCTTCTTCAGGAACATAAGTATCATCTGCAGTCAGAACATCCTTCATATAAGCCGTCTCATTCCCTATCCAAATACTCCCCGTCAGAGCATTTTGTTGCAAATAATAGAGACCGGTGTCAAAGAAGCCAGTTTCAGCGTCGAGGGTTGACTTATGAGATAAACTCCAAGATCGGGTTCCTTTGTATTTTGGAAATAATGGTCCCGGCTTTTGGACTGACATTGTTCCTCGGAATGGATACAGGCCTCCAGTTAAGTTGGGTAATAGGTGCGCCGCGTGCCCATTCGTACAATGAATGACCTTTTTCGCTCGGATGCTCCCCCTTGGGGTCGTGATAGTGTAGGGATATAGTCCCTTGGAGTACTCAACGCGAGTGACTGGCGTATTCGTCTCAATACTCAGTCGACCAGAGTAGTTGTCTAACAGGCGTTGATAAATACCAGTCAGCAGTCGGTAGGGCCAAATTGCACCAGCTTCATGTTCAACAGCCCCAGATGCATTCTTGATATTCCATCTCTGTGACATGTCAGAATTTCTATGACTTCATTGCGGCATGAACTTGGAGCATACCTCTGGAACCTGGTCTCTTTCGATTATACTGTGATAAGCGCTGTACTCTGGCACTTTGTCCTGAAAACCCAGAACGGACCTCTTCGCAGAAGCCCATGTCTCGTCATCTCCAACTGCCATGACTTTTAGGACATCTCGTATCTGGCACTCTTCTTGCAAAACAGGATCGAACTCTCTGACCAGTCTCATCAAATGATCAATATTCATGATGCTAAAGCGAGTAATCTCCCTTGCCGCTTCAATTCCATGCTGTTCAGCTAGAGGACCGAATGTATGTCCAGATGCTGTGACGAGATGCCCCCCATTGCGTCCTGTTGCTCCACTGACAAGAGTGCGGGCCTCAAGCACCGTTACACGTGAGTTGGCTGTGGATGGGTGTTCCAGTAGTGTCTTTATGACACTGCAACCAGTAATTCCGGAGCCAATTACCGCAAAATCAGTAAACTCTGGAAGGTCCCTCGACTGTATCGAGGCCAGAGACGGGTGAGGAGGTATCTGCCAAGCTGAGACTGTTGGATTTGGTCTGGGTAGTCCCGGATCTCGAAGGATTGCCTTTGACACATTCTTGAGAAACCGTGCTGTAGCTGGGTCTGAATTCTCGTCAGTGAGTAAGCTCGTGTTCCCGGTTCACGGACATACTGAGATACAAGTTCAGCTCGCCGTCCGAACCAAGCTTGATTTGGCTTTCATTCTGTGTCTTATCAGTTGCCATCTCTGCTGCTTTTCTTTACCTAACTAAGTGGAAAGTGAGCAATCTCTCTATCTATATCACACTGGAAGAATTCCGAGCTAGAACATGGAAGTGACTACACCAGTCGAGGACAAGGTACCAAGATACCTCTGCCTCCTTGTCCAAGTCCGAGTCGAGACGCTGCGAGTTACTGTGTTTGGAAAGTGTATGCGAGAGAGATAACGACAACGGAATGCGATTGGCGGGGTCAAGCATCTCTCCACTTTCGACAAGCCATGAATTTCCAACTAAGCTTAATCCGAGATAAGCCACCACAGAGTTTCCATCTGAAGAAAGACCGTGAGGGGTAATAAGTTAGCCCCGCCTCAATCTCATTCTGGGCCTCGTGTGAGCTGAAACCGGCGAACCTTTATTCGAAGACGGGAAACCAAGAATAACTCTTCTCGATTCTTTTTAATACAAAGCACATTTCTCCAGCCGTTGGACCTTTCGATCCGAGTGAAAAAGATATTACTATATTTCACAAATCTACCAATACCCTGCCAGTCTATTAGTAGCTAATTCTCGACATGGGGATTTATATAACCGACCTCACAGAGGCAGACATTCCTGGGGCAGTAGAGGCAGTACAGTAAGTAGGACATATAACGGTTAGTTCTATAGTTGTTGACTCAACAGGCAAGCCTTTGTTGGAGATCCATATAACGTGTGGGTTTATGACCAAGCGAAAGTGAGTGAAGAACATCCGTCGGATAAAAGCTCTTACAGAGGTTCCTAATGCTGACGCTTGTGCAAGTTTGACCGCCAGCGGAATTTTGAATCTCTCGCCATTCGAATGAGGTGGGGAATGCGCAATGGAATCTTTCACGTTGCCAAAGAAGAAAACAGTGATAAAGTGCTCGGCGTAGCGATGTGGCTACGTCCCCAACCAGCAGATCAGCCGCCAACATGGAATGACTGGTTCGAGAGCTGGAAACTTTACTTTGGACAAGTACGCATGAATCTGTGGTATGGTCGAGGAGGATTAAATGTCAAGGTATGTTGCTCAAGATCTGATCATCTGACTAAACACAAGGAGTTTCTGATCAAGACCAGCGTTATTATATATGGAAGGATGCCCAAGCCAGTGCCCAATCAGCTCTGTGGAAGGACCCTCGGGGTTACTACTTTCTAAATATCATGGTTGTTGTTCCTGAGGCTCAAGGCAAAGGAGTCGGTGCCAAATTGATGAAAGCCGTCACTGACGAGGCCGACGCTAAAGACATGAGATGCTACTTGGAGTCAAGTCGCGACGTCCCCAACGTCGCCATTTACGGGCGTCTGGGGTTCAAGTTCCAAAAAGAAATGATTTGTGATGATGACGGCGATGCGATCAAGTTATTCACGATGATAAGGGAACCCCATGCTGAGCCATCCAGCGGGAGATAGACCTCAAATATATATAAATGACAACACGACGTGGGAAATAGCTGTTCGATACTGCATAGCCAAATCTTGTATTTATCTGACTTCTGTTCTTCATTTCAGGGTATCCAGGAAAGATCGCAGTGCCGCCATCTCATCAGTCTGGATCGCGGAGAAACCGGCCCGGAGCAACCGACCCCAGACCGCTTCAGGGTTGTCCAAGGCAGCGCTGTCAGTGAAGCCTGAAGAGGCGACACTATCGAGAGTGTTGACCCAGAGATTGATTCCTGCCTCATGGAAGTGCCGCTTTATTGCATCGACCTGTGAGATGTCCCGAAACGAGGCTTCGCAGATTAAAGGCTTCAGCTCGAGAGCAAGCTTGACCTGTTGTTGCCAGTCATCATGCTCGAGATGAGTGCGTGCGATGAATGGAGCGTCATGTATGGTGATATTTGCTTTGATCCAAGCTAGATCATCTTTAGTCTTCAAATCGGCCCAGAAATCCACTTGCTTGTCGACACCCATCTTCCGTGCATACGCCAGCACTTCCGGGATGACATGCCGATGCTTGATGTCGAGGTGGATGTAAATCTTATCGCGGGTGAGGTCAAAGACGTCGCGTAAGCTGGGCAGCTTCTCCTCCGTAAATGGATTGTTTGGGCCTCCATCACGGTTCCTGAGTGGAAGCGATATCAGTTCTCCCAAAGTCAACTCCTCCGGCTTCCTGTCAACTCCAGTCATTCGATCCAGGCTCATATCGTGAAGCAGTACGAATTCTCCATCAGCAGTACGGCGTACGTCTATCTCAACAATATTGTAGCCAGCTTCAATGGCTCGTCGGACGGAAAGCAAGCTGTTCTCAGGAGCTTCATTCCATAAGCCACGATGGGCGACGATTGCACACTGGCGATGGGGATCAGCGAAATATTCGGAATAGTCCATTTCTGCTGCTTCTCTCTCATCAGACTTTTTTAATCAGTCAAATGAGATCTCATACGCAAGAAGTCGGTGAGGTCGTGAAAGGAATGCAAATGGTTCTTTATTGGTGGCTTGCTATCTAACTTTGTGCTGTTGTAGTCGTGGTGGATCCATGTAGACCAAACAAAACTGACTCTGGCCTGTTAAAGTTTCCCTTAACCGCTCAAGCTATGACATGTGATTCCCTGTTGATATATTCGTCCTTCAGTCCCTCTGATATGTCATGTTCATGTCGACTAAGCGGCTTGTCCTGTTGCGAATCACACCAGGAACCATGACTACAGTTGAATGACGAAACAGGAAAACTACCTGCACTACACAATGCAATAAGCGACAGGTCCCCAAGATCTAAATTTTAGACTTAAAGACCTCTCGGAATGATCGCAAATGTAAGTCCTGTCACGGCAATAGTCATCAAGTCTTGGTAGAGAAAGAAAAGCGGCATAGATGCTATATACTAAATGACGCTCTATTGTATTTTAAATGCGAGCATAACGCAAGAAGCGAAAAAGTCCTCAGTAACACAAATCTAGATCCATATGGTACTCAAGGCTTAGGATTCCTTCTTGGAAGCGGCGGCGGCGGCAGCAACTCTCCTCTTCTTCGCCATGGTGTTGAAGAAAGTTCCAAGACAGAACCCAACCAAGCTGAAGAAAGGAGCCCAAGCCTCCTTTGGTACAAACAAGGTTGCAATGGTAATCAAGACCGGGTGCATAGCGCACATAGCTTTTGTCATGGGTACCAAACCGGCGCGAACTGCAGCTCGAGCCTGTTCAGTTGTACGCGCGCCAGCAATGACGGCCATTGATGCAAGATAAACAGTATTTTGAATGGGGAAGAACTGTGACAAGTAAGGTAAGTAGCTGACAGTTGTTGTTGGCGACATGATCATATCATACCAAGAGCATAGTGATGAGGTTTTGCAAGACTACTCGTCCTGGGAGACTTCGTTGCAGAGTCGTGTTGAGGAAGTGGGTCAGCGGTGCTGCGATACACGCACCATAAAACGCCATTTGGGGGACACGGGCAGTAATTGTTGGGCCATGGCCTGGGAGCCCATAGGCAAACCACGATGCTACAATCTCCGTCAAGGCTGACAACGAGCCCTGAGTAAGCATCTTTGTCCTCAGTGGCTTTGACTGTAATTGTTTGAGGTATGCCTATGTTGTAAATGTCAGCTTCATCTTCAAAGATACAAGGTGCTCAAAGCATACACCCAACAGCGCCTTGGCGTCAATTGTAGATTTGCCATTTGGCGTATGCGTTAGAGAAGACATTTTGTTGGCGTCGCGCGACCTGTCTCTGTTGAGTCTTCAGGGTGCAAGTCGGTGTGAGACTGGATAAGATAGAGGCAGTTGAGAAGTGAAGTTGTCCTTGCTTGATGACGGATAGGAGAAAATTAAATGATGCCTGAGGCTCAATATCCTCCCTCATTAGCCGTGCACATCAGCCGGCGCCTCGGTCCCGGCTCCCCAGACCCGCTTCCCCTCTTATCAGAAGATTACTAACTGATATCACGGGAATAATAGAACGAATTGATTATTTCCAGCTAACCTGGACCTGATGAAGTATGAATTGATCTGGGCCATTGTGGTGTATGGATTATTGGAAGAGTATGTACCTGAAAGGAAGCCATACTACGCACTTTGAAAAAGAAATTAATATCTGAAATATGCTACAATCGATTTTTTAAAGACAAGTTAAGGATGATGACTATAAATCCTCACGTTGGCACGACTCTCCAGTCAGATATTAAAAGCCAGGGACAACATCAGACGTACGCAGTTCTTTATCTTTTAGTTATTGTTTATTATCTATGATAGAAAGACTAACGTCAGAAACCGGTTCCAATCAGAACCCAAAGCCAACAGCATAACATACAAGAAAGCACTAATGAATAGTACTGCTTGAGATATCTCATGATAGGAGAGCAATAATACAATTCATACTATAAGTAAAATAAATAAGGAAAAGCAAAGGAACCCCCGACTTCAGCTAAATCCAGGCAGGTAAAGGAAACGCAATAAGACAGAACCCCATTGGCTGACTGTTCTACTGGTGTCGTCTTGATAACGACGAGAAGCTGGGCAAATGAGCCAGTAACGGAGTGTATACCTAGTCCTGCTAAGTGAAGATTTTATTAAGGGATGGCAGAGATCTAGACCTGCTTTACATAGCCCGCCTAGATCTAAATTCAGGAAATGATAAACCTCTGATTATATGTAGTGACATGACGTGCGGCATCCGCTGTAGAAAAATAATATATCAAGCACCACAGTCCTTCTACTTAGATTCTTAAATAAAGACAAACTGCGCTATCTGTAAGAAGAAAAGATGCAGAGTAGAGATCAGATCGAGACTCACTGCATATGAGGATGACATGCTTATTATTAAAGGTGTTGGCCGGTAAGACCTTATGACCTGCAATGTGCCAGGGGTGTATGCTGATCTTCCTGCTACGTACTCTGTATGTACGGAAATACTTTCCAGTCAAGCTTTTTAGCCATTCGTTGAGCACACACTGTCTTAGCTACTCCTCATTCCAGGGGCTACAATGGAGGAGTGTCCTTGGAAATGAGGGCGTGAAAATAAACTTTATTCGTCAGCACCACGTTAAATGCTGGCAGCTGCCATAATTACCAGGTGGGTCGCACAATAATACGCACGCACAAAGAGGCTGACAGAAATGTATCGTGGAGTTGAGGGCTAAAAATGACCTGCTTATTTATGTCAGCAGCCCTGTCTTACTATGGTGAGAGAGCTTTGGTGTGCGTATTATTCTGCGATCCACCTGCATACCAGCAAATTGGCTAGCAAGTCCAGCAACAGCACTACCGGTACTAACCCTCTCGCTTAATGACCGATCATTTACAAACCATACACCAAAAATTGCACTATCATGCCGATTTGCCGGGTGGCACACCAGTAGCCAATGTGAGGGTCTCGACCACGCGGGACGAGTTGGAGTCTCCCCACGATTGGTGGGCATCACCCATGCTTCCCCATGGGGAGCCAGGGTGCGGGGAAGAGTCCTCCCTCACACGGATTACCGGCATCATAGATCACCCAAGATCAGGAGCCGATTACACCTGGTTGGCTTGCTATAGCCAAGGTTATCTTAAATGGGAGATCCCTAGCTCACGTCGAGGTGAGTCGTGAGGGGAAAGTAGCTCTGAATGTCGGTAAAAGCATCGGCAGTTACATCGCTTCCTTATTTAGTATGCAGTGCTTGCATATATGTGAGTAGATGTTAAATACAGCGTGCCAGGAAATCTAGCTGCTGTTTAAAACTTCATCGACATAGCTGCAAGAGAACGAGGACAGCGGGATCACCATGGAGATGAATTCCAATAACGAGGTAGATCATTGACAAAAGCTCATCGCAGCCTGAATGCTAATGATGATCGCAGGAGATCCATGCCATTGAGGCGGAGCTTCATACGGAGATTCTCCCTGGCACGGAGATTATGAGAGATGTTGCCTCGCATCATTTTGTCAAGGATCGCTCGGGGTCCAATCGCGTCCTCATTCCACAACCCTCAGACGATCCAGCAGACCCCCTCAACTGGTCACTCAAGTGGAAAATGCTAGCTATCATTGGAGCCAGTATGACCTCATTCTTCCAGGGCTTTGGGCCACTGTCTCTTGCGCCCATGTTCGGAGACTACATTGAAGCGTTTCATTGCACTCTCGCGGATGCTGTGCAGTTCACCGGAGTCTGTATCTTGGTTCTTGGTTTCAGTAACTTCATATGGTAAGTCCCTAACACCCAAGTCGGGACGGCATTTTTCAAGCTGGAGCGAATCACTAAGAACTGTCAACAGGGTTCCATTAAGCACCTCATTTGGCAGGCGACCGGTTTACATTGCGTCCAACTTGATCTGCCTGGCCTCTATGATTTGGAGAGCTCGTGCGCAGACTTATGGAAGCTTCATGGGAGCTTGTGTGTACGTTTTGACTAGCAACAGTTTACAGAACATTTTCTGACTATGATACAGGCTGAATGGTATTGGCGCTGGTCCTGCAGAGTCAATCCAACCCGCCGTCACTGCTGGTAAGCCGTCATGCTGAACATGTTAAGGTGTTCATATCTAATTGCATGCTAGACATCTTCTTCTTACATGACAGAGGCAAGTGGAACACGTTATACTGGGTCGTATACATGGGATCGTTGATGATTGGCCCCATTGTCGGCGGGTCCATGGCTCTCAACGTTGGCTGGCGCAACTTCTGGTGGTTCAATGTGGCCCTAGGTGCAGTTGTGTTGCTCTATACCATCTTTTTGTTCCCAGAGACCAAGTTCGTCTTTAGAATCTCCTTCAACACGCTGAACCACAACTAACAGCAACAGGTGGCACCGCCCTCACCCGAACGAGATCATCGAGGAATCCGGAGCGAACGAGAAGGTCGAGGGTTCGGCCAATGCCAGCCACACTGAGGCCTCTAGACCTGGTAGTGATGGCATAACGGAGCACGCCACCAGCACTGAAAAAGAGGGAACAGCCCCGGAAGGATTTGCTGATCTATCAACAAGCGAGACGGCTGCACGGGATCCGTATCTCGGGCGGGGAAAGCCTGCAAAGTGGCAGTTCCGGTTCTTCCAACCCAACCCACATCCTTTCAAGGCTATCCTTTTGGACCTGTGGATTCCTTGGAAACTGTTCGCATTTCCCATTGTCCAATTTGCCAGCTTCGTCGTCTCTTGGAGCTGCTCGTCATTCCTCACTATTAATCTAACCCAGAGCCAAGTTCTTGCCGCGCCACCTTACAACTTCTCTACGCAGACCATCGGCTTTACCAACTTTGCTATCTTCGCCGGAGCTTTGATCGGTCTTGCCACTGGCGGTCCTCTGTCTGACTGGGTGGCTGCCAAGCTCACTGCGAGGAACAACGGTATCCGTGAGCCAGAGATGAGGTTGGTTGCCATGATCCCATTCGTTCTTATTATGTACCTTGGCAACATCATTGTCTCGGTTGGATATGAGAACCAATGGCCATGGGAAGTCATTGTGCTCATTGGATATTCTTGCGCCGGCATTCAAGTTGCAGCCCTCCCCAGCATCTCGAGCACGTATGCTGTTGACAGTTACAAGCCTGTTGCTGGCAGCTTATTTGTTAGCATCACAGTTAACAAGAATGTTTGGGGCTACGGCTTTAGTAAATTCATTACTCCATGGAGCGAGAAGGCTGGGTAAGTTATTTACTTGTTTCTTGATTTAACAGTTACTAATTCTTGCAGATTTATCGCACCTATCATGACCAATGGAAGCTTAGTTTTCCTCTGGTGTTTGTTTGGTGTTGTGTTCTACTACTACGGCAAGACATTCCGTCGTTGGACTAAGAACAGCAGTGTACATAGGCTCTAGTCTTTTAACAGACCTTAAACTATTATTTGACAGTCATTATATTTACCTAGTAATAACAAGTAACAGACATTAAGCTCTGTATACAATCCCTTTTAAATCCCTTAGCGTTGACTACCCCTGACTGTAACCCCAAGGATAAGTTGACATTACAAACAGCAAACTGTCTAAACCGAGAACCGCCATTTATCAGATTCGCTTGCCGCTTCAACTTGTTCCTCTTCTGACTGTCTCTTTGCCGCAAGCTTCTTATTAAGCCATAGATACTGCGCGTTAGACACGATCGCGAATACCAGGGCGATAGATGCCAGGGTGAGGATGACCGTAAATCCTGTCCTATATAGTGGCGCATCGTGGGCCTGGAAAATCTGAGCACCTGCCAGACCAGCCGCATTGGCAGTCATGATAAGGAGAGCCATGGTGATGGACCGCTCTGCAGGATTACGAATGTTGACAGCAAGCCAGGAACCGTTCAACGGGTGAGCAACAGATCCCCAGAGCGTGGTACAGGTAAGAATGCCGTATTTGAGATCGCTATTGGTGCTTGTCGCCAGTTGTCTAGTCGCGAGACAGAATGCGAAACTCAGAACTGTAGCGAGAAGAATCAAGAAGCCTCGCCTCTGAGTTTTATCCGCAATCCATCCGAACGATAGATTTAGGACAATGACAATCCAACCGCCAACAGATGATAGTGCATTTGCTTGAAGGCGGTCATAGCCATAACTTGCAATGATGGACGGTTGATATGTTCCGAGTGGTGAGATAATGGCAATGCAGCAGAAGGAGACAGTCAGCTGCGGGTAAATACACCACCTGGAAAAGGCGGCTTTGATGTCAACCCACTTGACATATTTGTGTCTTGGACCTTGGCTAGGATTGTCAAGGTTAACACGGTTGGTGAGGATGTGGATCTCCTGCGGTGTAAAGTATAAGTGACCGAAGATGTTTGACGGGTTTGCGGGAGAGTTTGGCATGAGAAAGGCGAAAACAACACCGATCACTATTGTGATGATTCCCTCGAGGAGGAACATCCACTGCCAACCAGACAATCCAGCTATACCTCTCATCTGGAGGATGCCATAGGCAATAAGACCACTTGCGGCCGAAGCAATCATGTTGCCAAGGAAGAAGGCAGTGAAGCGTCTGCTAGTCTCATTGCGTTTGTACCACTGTGTCAGGGTGTACAAGCCGGCAGGAATGAAACCGGCTTCCAAAAGGCCGAGTAACAGTCTAGTAGCATAATATGCACCGACGCCTTTGCCTTTGATGAATGCTTGAAAGGTGGCGACCAAGCCCCAGCAAAAGATCTGGCAGCTAATCCACTTCTGAGGACCTAAGCGATAGAGAACAAGATTGCTCGGCAGCTCTAGTAGCACAATTCCCAGACTGAGGAGTTGGTTCCCAATGTTGAACTGGAATTGAGTGATGCCGACTTCAGGGAGGAAGAAGTCTGTAAGGGCGTTGCCGATGTTGCCGCGGTCGAGCTGCAAAACGAAGAAGCCCGCGATAAGCAGAGGCATGATAAGAAGATCCAGCTTGCGAACGAGAACCCGCTCTTCGGCTTCAGACCAATCAATAATGGTATTCTGCTCAGGACCATTGATTTCATTGTCTCGACCCGAACTGTAGTCATCTACAGTTGATGGAAGTGGCTCCTTTTCGATCATCATGCTTCAGGTTGTAATTGAGAGATCAAGGTAGTTGTGGGCGTTGAATCATTGATGGTACATGACAGAGACTACATAATAAATAATTTTTATAACAGCCGCGTTTCCATCTCGCAATCTAGATGCGGCATTTCGCAATACTCCAGCTTCCAGTTTATTGCACTTACATCTTCCCCAACTCATAAAGTAGCTGAATAAAATAATTTGTGATGCCCTGTAACAATGGAAGTCGCTGCGTAGTCGAATCGAACAAACCAATGAGGCCATGATCCGAGCGACAGCCCGGTCCTTCTGGCTTGCTTAGCGTTATCATGAACGAGGGCTAGCTTCGATCTGTCAAACGCCATCGACATGTGAATCTTGCGTGCTTGGAAATGTTGAAACTGGGACCAATGGAAGCATCATCCGAGGCACACTAAAACCTGGAGTTGGTTAGTGGGTGGGGGGCATTGTCCTGACTGTACCAAATGGAGCATGACATTTACAACCAACAGCTTCCGACTCTCTGACAGATATCTCAAGGTGAAGATGTCCCTGGTATGAGGTACTGCTACCACGCCGCGATACGAGTAGGAGTGCGACAGTGCGTTAATCGCTTACGTATATAAAATACCTACTTGTTCTCATGGTCGAGTCCATCCCACTCCCTCTACGCCCTGAAATCCTCAACATTCTCCTCTGCCATCATGGTTGTCGCCAAAAAACCCAATTTTCTTATCATCGTCGCCGATGACCTCGGCTTCAGTGATGTAAAACCTTATGGCTCCGAGATAGACACCCCTGTCTTGGAACGCCTCTCTAAAGACGGCATACGGATGACCAACTTCCATACCGCTCAGGCATGCTCGCCTACGCGAGCCATGCTTCTCTCTGGAACAGACAACCACATTGCTGGACTTGGCCAAATGGCTGAATTTGCCGAGATGAAGAAGAACCTTACTGGAAAGTATCCTGACTACGTCGACAAACCTGGCTACGAAGGCTACCTCAACTGGAAAGTGGCTGCTCTGCCTGAGATTCTTTCCGACGCAGGATACCTTACTCTTATGTCTGGCAAGTGGCATCTGGGAATGACTCCTGATGTGTCGCCGAGTGCAAGAGGCTTCAAGAAGAGTTTTGGTTTCTTACCTGGTTGTGGAAACCACTTCAACTATGAACCGCAATTCGAGGCTGACCAAGACACTATGCTCTTGACCTCGGATGGATTTTGGATGGAGAATCAAAATCCAGTGGATAGAAAAAAAGACTTACCTGGAGACTTTTATTCTACCAACTTCTTTACAGATAAGCTGCTTGATATGTTGAGCAACAGAACCAAAGAGGAAAAGGAGCAGCCTTTCTTTTCATACTTGGCCTATACGGCACCACACTGGCCAATGCAGGCGCCACAAGATGTCATAGAAAAATACAGTGAGTTCTCAGCTCGTGCCACGAAGCTTCCGGACTAACGAAGACAGGCGGAAAGTACGACAATGGACCCGACCAGCTGAGACTAGACAGGTTGGCCAAATTAAAAGAGCTAGGTCTTGTGCCGTCTGATGTCGAAGCAGCTCCTCCTGTTGGCTTTGAAGCTGGTGTGAAGTGGGAAGACCTCACTGATCACGAGCGAGATGTCTCTTCGAGGAAAATGGAGGTCTACGCAGCAATGGTTGACCTACTTGACCAGAACATTGGGAGAGTCGTCGATGCACTTGAAGCAACTGGTGAACTTGACAATACTTTCATTTTGTTCATGTCAGATAATGGCGCAGAAGGCTCTACGTTGGAAGCTGCACCAGTGAGTCACCTTCATCCATTCAATCCGGAAGTTGATACTGACTGTGAGACTTAGCTCTTATCATCATTCAAGACTCTTGGTGAACTTATCGCTGCACACTATGACAACAGTCTCGAGAATATTGGAAAACACAATTCGTATGTTTGGTATGGCTCTCGGTGGGCATGCGCTGCTACTGCGCCTTCTCGTGGCTTCAAAGGATGGTCAACCGAGGGCGGCATCCGATGTCCTTGCCTTATACGATTCCCTCCAATCTCTTCAGCTCCGCAGACTATTTCCCATGCCTTCACAACTGTAATGGATATACTGCCCACCATCCTTGACCTAGCCCAAGTGCAGCACCCAGGAAAAACATTCAGAGGTCGACAAGTCGTCAACCCCCGAGGAAAATCATGGGTCAGCCATCTCTCATCTCCTAAAGAGCATCCAAGCGTTCACCAGGATGAGGATCATATACATGGCTGGGAGCTGTTCGGTAATCGCGCCATACGCAGAGGAAATTGGAAGGCAGTTTTGTTGGCAAAGCAAGGCGGTGACAATTGGGAGCTATTTGACGTGGAAAGTGATCCCGCCGAGCAACATGATTTATCGAAAGAGAGGCCTGAAATTTTGGAAGAAATGCTTGTGCACTGGGCTACATATGTTGCCGAGACGGGGTTAGTGGAAGACGCGTTCTGAGGGATGGATTGCGTGATTGCGTGATTGAGGTCCACAGTGGTGTTGAGGGAATGTGGACTAAATCCCTTATCACCGCCCGACCCAGAGTAGAAATTCCATTATAATCATCATCTATCTATTCCATTTAAACTCTTTGAAATGACCTATAAAAAGACACGGACTGGCTGTCTGCAATGCAAGAGGAGAAAGGTCAAGGTAACAAACCACATCGACCGAGCAAGATGAATGATCGCTTATAGACACTGTAGTGCGACGAAGGAATTCCATGTACAGCGTGCATTCGTCGTGACTCGACATGTAGCCTCATAGCCCAAGAAAGCTCGTCGCGTAGCAGGACGCAGTCACCACGAGATAAGGCTCTGATGCCAATCATCGACATCACTCATTTCCAACGAATTGCGCCATCTCCTACAGAAGGCCTGGCCGCACATGATAGAGAGTTGCTATGCCACTGGCACCAGATAGCCCACAAGGCCATTGTTCATCAGCGAGGGTCAGAGGACCTTTTCCAGCATCAAGTAATTCATCTCGCATTCGATCATCCAGTTATCATGAACCTCATACTGGCTATATCCTCATTCGAACAAGCGCATACTGCCCACCACTCACAGGTAAACGTTCCGGGATATCGGATCCGAAGGGATATCTACGCTTCTCTGGGAGTTAAGTACTCTGAAGCCGCCGCGAGGATGATGAGACAGGCAGTAGAGAACGCTAATGTCGATAACGGTCCGGTATGTCACCTGGCCTCGATTCTCATGATGATCAACTCTTATGCCCAAGGTTCAGTCAAAGAACTTGTGCGGGTCAAGAACGAGCCTTCTACCATGCTGAGCGACCTGCTCGTCATTTGCAAGCTCACGAGGGGGGTCAGGGCTATTTCGGACGCATATGGCGTCATACGACCAGACCGGCACGAGCTCATACTCTATGTCACCGAGGCTGAACCACCAGACCGTGGGCCCCTCGATCCCATTCTGCACATGCTTAATTCTCTGACGTTCCTGGAGGAAGAAGAGGACCCGGTCACCAAGCAGATCTGCCAGAATGCTCTGGATTTAATGAAGTGGTTGGTGAGAAAAGCGCAGACATCAGAGTGGTGCCCGGCACATAGGGCATCGTTACAGTGGATTTGTCTTGTTGGGAAAGACTTTATAAAGCTTGTTGAAGCGTATGAGCCTGCAGCTCTTGTATTGCTCTCGTATGGTTGCTTCTTGGATAGCGGTAATGGCGGTAATACATTTGTGATGAGAGGATGGAAAGTGGGCGTTTGCGCTGAGATTCGAAATATTGTCGGTCCACAATGGGCAAGGTTTATATTACGATAAGCAGCTTGCAGATAGATTTATCATACAAGGTGAGAACACGATGTCACTATATTATCTGATTGCATGCCATACTCTCTGATTTGATCCTTCAGATACCTCAACCAACTCTAGGTGATTCTTTGATCTTCCCTTTTAGCTCTTTATGACTACTTTTCCGCAGGAATCACGCACTGAGATCGGGCTGTTATGTTATGCGGCCTCGGGGCGTAGTAAACTTCTGATATTAAATCAGGGATGAAACGCAACTGGTCTGAAGGTCTAATAGAATACACTCAACTTATACAAGTATTTTCGTCGCTTAAGATAAAGGCCCCAAGCTTTGTTGCGTCCTCCAGGATAACCCAACATAACAAATTCTTATACACAGCTCTCAACCGCAAATTAATCGATCTTCCTTAGAGTTTCCCTCAGTACCCTTGGCACCAGAGCCGTTGCCTCACCATCGCCATTGACCTCAAATACGAAATCATCAACTCCAATGTTGCCGTACGTTAACGAGTCAACTGCTCCCCACGACAGACACCCACCACTGAAAGGACCAATGTTCACATCTGTCGCGGTCTCCTCAGACCCTTCTGAAGACTCGTTTACGGCTCGAGCTTCAAAGATACCTCTGAAAGACATTTTCTTATTTCCTTCCAACCCCATTGGGTACAGCCTTAGCACCGGTGTCACATCTAACCCTGGCCACGTAAGCGCGGCTTGCATGGCCATCACGTCGACGCCGCTCCGGGTCCAGTTCTGTACCATGAGCGTATCGTCCATAGTCACTGTCAGCTGGCTCTTGGGACCCTTGAAAGTCCCAGCAAACCGCTTAACGGAGTTATCACGGGCTGCGGTTTCGGCGGCTGGTAGCAGCGCTTCCGCAATGAGGTCGGGAAGGTAGCTTAATAGGTATGCACGGTTAGTTCCTGCCATTAGCGCCACATAGCCAATGTCGTGTTCTGGCGAAAGAACAATGATCGCAGTGTAAAGTCCAATGGCGCCGTTCTTCGTGTAAAGATCAACGACCCGAGTTCCGCTGCGTCCGAGGGGGATCTGTGTGCGCCGGATCTCCCAAGGCATACCAACAGACATGTGGATGTCGGCAGTATGGGCAATGGGCTTCATCCAAGAGCGGGTTTCAGAGGGGCTGAGTATAGAAGAATTGAGGATAGATTGGCCGAGCCGCGTGAGGTCTGCAGCTGTAGAGAACATACCGCCATAGCTATGGAAGGTTATCTTGTGAGGTGTGTAGTGGCAATGAGCGGACTTACGTGCTGCCATCTGCAGTGGTGATATTCCACCACGACGTCTGCTCGTTCTCGGGGATCATGGCGTTTTCCTTGCTCTCGGGTGCCTCGAGACTCGTTCGCTTCATTGACAGAGGCCCGGTCAGGGAGGATTGGAAAGACTCCTTGAATGGTTTTCTAGTCATGCCCTCAAGAGCATAGGAAAGTATTTGGTACGCGACGTTGGAGTACACTGGAGTGTTCGCAGTGGATGTGATGGGGAAGAAGTTTTCTGTCGTGATCCCCTCGAAGAATTCTGCGGGAGATTTTATCAGCAAAAGTCGTCAACAGGCTGAGCAGGGATATGCACCTTTACGGGAGCAAGGCCTCAGGGATGGATCTGAGACACTGCAGTGTGGTTTTTCTTTGCGACTTAGAACTGGGAGGCCATATAGTTCGGGGTTCTGGTGAGCTGATTCGATGATGGAACTCATATCGAAAAATCCGACTGTGTGCTGGTATCAGAAGAGGTGAGTTTGCTTCTATCAGGGGCGGTACTAACAGTTTCGGCTGATGCCGGCCATGTGGCCGGAAAGCTGGCCAATAGTCACATCGTTCCACTGCACCTTCCGGGTGAGGTCGTCCTTGGTCTTCCTCGCAGCAAGAGCGAGCTCAGGCACCCACTTTGTCACGGGATCGTTCATGTGTTTCATCCCAACCTCAGCGAGTAGTGTATAGACAGTAAGAAGCTTCGAGACACTACCCACTCGGAACACGGTATCCTTGTTGAGCGTCCCTGAAGTCAAGGAGTTCTTCATGGAGGGAGGGACGTATCCATGCTGGAAGAGGGTGTCCGAGGCGGAAAAGGCCTGGACGTAGAATGTAGTGTTGAACCCTTCAAGAGTGCCATTACGGTCAAGCTCATTGAAGGTAGTGTTGAGCTGAGCAATAGCATCAGAAAACGCACTGGACTGGAGCGGATGCTGGACGGGCGGGAAGATGGCACCTAGTAGAGGGCATGGGGTCTCTTGAGCATTGGCCTGCTGCAGAAAAGCAGCAAAGCCCAGTGTTAGGACAAAAGTAATATGCTTCATAATGGGATTGAAAGACAGCATATGATAAGAATGAGAGACCAGGAGAAATGAATTTGCAGAGCGGATAATTTGATCAACTTATAGAAGAAGGCGCGTGGGTCAGAGTCAATGGTCTGGCGTGTAGGTGTTTGGATCTCCATTACGCCAAGGCAATAACGGATATAGTTTGGCCAAGAGCTATTGTAGAATATGCGGCAAGCTATTTGAGTGGTCGGCTCGCTCAATGGACTAAGACATGGGCTCGTGTAATTGTAATGACAAGTTGTCAACAAAGGCAGTGCACATACGGAGTAGCACAAACGGTTAAGCTTACTTGTACAGTGGCAAGAGCCAGACAAATCAGCATGCGCTATAGCTGTACTTGTTCCGTGATTGGCCGGCTCGCTCGGATTGGTTGAGGGGGTCAGCTGATAGCGCCGCGCTAAAGCGCGTGAATGGAGTCTTATTAACTAACTGCCTGAGCTTAATCTAGGGTATCCGCTCTGCACAATTTGACCTACGCTGTCTGCTGATAACCCACGATCATAATAAGTAACAGGGCTAGGGAGCTACAACGAGAAGTATGGACATGCTCTTTACTAGGCTAAACAGTGAGATGCATTGTTATAAAGCTACTTGAAGGTCGATCTTGAATATGTATAATATCTTACTTATCATTACGGGTTAACCATCCCTCTCGGCGGACCGTAAGGAGACCGTAATAGTCAAGAATTAGGTAGGAATAGTCCATAGCGATAGCGGCCCAGAGGTTCTTTATGCCAACCCAAGGGAACAGGGTAAGAAAAGATCGGTAGGTCTTAACCATTTGAAACAAGTACCAAACCATGAAACAAAGGCTACTCTTTTAGTCAGTCTGGGTATACACTTACAACGATAGGTTACGTTCTGGGCGGATAGGGATGTCCACTTACGCGATCCTGGGCGAGTTCATGATGGCTAGTCCCCAGCCAATGAGATGGACAAGAGTAATGAGAGGTCGTCCAAACTCCTCAGCAAGCTTCCGAGCAAAATAAGCATCCCTTCTATAAATCCTTCGAAACCCGGGATCAATAAAGAGCTGATTAATAAAAGCCTGGAACCCATTGCGTCGCCAACGAATAAGTTGGCCAACGTAGGTGGAGTCGCATTTGACCTCGGTGAACACTTCAGCCTCCCGTGCGTCTTGATGGAATAACTCCCACCCATTCCGACGAAGCCAACGGGTTATGAAGCTATCTTCACCCGTCTGGAGGAGCCCGCCGCCGAAGATCTCGTTCGTCAAATCGTCTAGGAATGTACCAAACTTTACAGCGGCAGTTCGAAGCAACATGGTCCTACCTACTAAGCACCATATGCCGCCTCCACTGGCATGGAGAAGCATCTGTTTCTCATTGTTACTTGACAGCTTTCGGATAGCTGCGACTTCCCAAGGTGTGAGAGCATCAGGGTTTTGTCGCTCTGTGGGGATCCAAGCACTCACGAAAGTTAGCTTTTGGTTCAACAAGGGTTATATACTTCAACTTGCCTTTGTCTACCGACAACGCCCCCGACCTTTGGGTTCTCAAACCCCGCGAGGAGATACGGCAACACCTTATTGCTTGGCCATACTGTATCGTCATCAACAAAACACAGTATATCACCAGTTGCTTCTCGCACAGCAAGAGCCATTTGTGTTCGTCGGCCAGGCCTCGGAACAGTCAGAATGGAGATGGGCACATTCCCGGCTTTTTCAAGGACAGGAGAGGCCAGTGATTCAACTCTTGCAAGATCACGAGGGATCGTAACAACAATAATCTCCTTGGGTTGGCTGGAAAGGCAGGAGTGCAGTGTGTCCGTAAATTCGCCAGGTGTGTCGATGGTGAGTATCAGGATGCTCACGCTATCAGTTGGAAATGTTGGATTTTCGAGGGGAGCCGGATGGTTGTACTCCTTCATTCGCATTCTCGTGAGTAGGGCGTCGTATTGAGTCCATAACCTTTTGTTTGTCAATTATATAGTACTTGAGGGCCGACGAGCGCTGAGGGCTTACCACATTCCTGCAAGAATAGTTGTCATCTTGTTTTAATTTAGACGTAGAGCATATACTAAACAGTCTCTGTGAGTAAAGATTATCATTAATGTTCTGAGGCTAAGGAGGCAATGTCGACGAGATATTGGTTCGATAATCAAGGCAATCCTGTCGTATTATATCCAACCCAAGACTTCTCTTATATTTCTCAATAGTCCAAGAACACAACGTACTGGTCGTTGACCAGCCATTGCCCATGTGAATTATTCCTCCAGCCCTGCTGTACATCACAAGAGTCAATATCTCTGTCTTGATTGCCCACAAAACATCCCAAAGTTACTTCAATGCCGGATGAAATTTTCCGTGCCATCATACTGTTACTTCAGATAGGATATTCTTCAAGCCGAACAAAGTGGATAAAAGCAACGTTCCACAACATCGGCCCTTATGGATATCCGGCCCGCGTTCCCAGAGTCTCCATCTTTGCTTATGGTCATTCTCTTCAACACTTATCAGCAAGTGATTGCCAAGATATTTGAAACCTACTGGTTCCAACCGATGCTGATCTTACCTGAAACCAGGTGGTGTTGGTGCTATTCATGTCGGTGTATAAGCAATCACAGTCACATCACAGGTATGGTATTTAGCCATATTGCAACTCTGGATAAACAAACAAAAGGGCAGTGCATATGTAAGACAACGCATGTAACCAACTAGAAAAAGATAACAGTTTGTAAGGATGGATGGACGCGCGGCCTGTGTCAACCTGCATGCGATCGCACAAAACATCATCGAGACAAGTCCAACCTGAGCAAGTTCTACCCATCCCACCACATCAGCCAAACGTCTCCATCTCAAATCAATCACGAACAAGCAGTGAATATGAGTCGTCCAGCGGTTGCCGTGTCATCAAACACACAGGAAGGTGATGTCAACACCATAGTGACCAACCTGGCCAATCAAGACAAAGTGCCATGGTATCAGAAACGAAACCTACGAAATCTTTACTTTATGCTGATCCCGACATGTATGGGTATTCAGATGACATCAGGGTTTCACGCCCAAATGATCAATGCTATGCAGATATTACCATCATGGATCAGCTGTATGTTGGTTTATCTTTGTCTAATGATTTACACTGACGAATGCTGCGTCTGTAGACTTTGGCAATCCCCAAGGATCTTTGAAGGGTATTATTGCAGCTGCATACCCTCTAGGTGCTATTCTGTCACTACCGTTGATACCTATCATCAACGATCGACTCGGAAGGCGTTGGTCCATTTTCATCGGGTCATTCTTTATGGTCATTGCGTCCTTAGTGCAGGGGTTCGCTAATTCTGGTATTCTACTGCTTTCACAGGCCAAGTCCACTACGGCATACTAACCAAAATCTGAAGCTGGTTCCTATATTGCTGCACGTTTAATACTTGGCTTCGGGATCCCGCCGTGCTTGGTATCGGGCTCCTCCCTAATTGGAGAATTAGGATACCCAAAGGTATGAACCTATCAATCTATCGACATGGTGCTGATAGTTAGAAGGAACGAGCGGTTTTAACATCGCTTTTCAGTGTTTCGCACTTTATCGGTCAAATTACTGCAGCCGGCATTGTCTTCGGTACCAATGGCATATTGTCCGATTGGGGTTGGCGAATCCCGTCACTCCTCCAGATCGCTCCCCCGATGATTCAGCTCTGCTTTGTCTTTTTCGTGCCTGAAAGCCCAAGATGGCTTGTCGCCAAAGACCGCAGCCAAGAGGCCTTAGAGACACTAGTCAAATTCCACGCAGAGGGACAAGAATCTGACTTTGTCAAGGCAGAAATGGCACAGATCCAGTCAACGTTACGTATCGAGATGCAAAACACCAAGAGATCATGGCTTGACCTTGGCGCAACTTCAGGCATGCGAAGACGTTTGCTGACGACCTGTATGTTAGGCCTGTTCACGCAGTGGTCTGGATCGACTCTTATTTCATACTACCTCGGTGACCTGCTGCAGATCACAGGCAATAATTCTTCCTATTTCAAGCAGACTATCAACGTTAGCTTGTCTTGCTGGAGTCTTGTATGCTCGTTCACAGCGTCAATGCTCGTTCGTCGGTTCAAACGTCGACATATGTACCTAGCCTGTACCACTAGTTTGCTCATCTGCTTTTCTAGCTACACCATTAGCATGGAGAGGACAATTACAGCGAAGCAGAACGGGGGATCAAACGATGCTGCTAGTGTGGCTAGTATTTTCCTATTATTCGCTTATTCACCCTGTTACTGTCTTGCCCTCAATACAGTTACATACAGTAAGTTGATCAGTCGTCCATACTACTAGGGACAAAATGTTAACAGTAGTTTCAGCATACCTTGTTGAGATCTGGCCCTATGCTGAGAGGTCTCGTGGTATAGCTGTTTTCCAGCTCTTTGCGCGCTCTGCAGAGTTTCTCACCACCTTTGTCAATCCAATTGGTCTTGCAAATCTAAGCTGGCGGTATTTCATCATTTACTGTTGCATTCTTGCTTATGAAGTTGTTTTTGTATACTTTTTCTTTCCAGAGACTGCTGGTAAAACGCTTGAGGAAGCGACATTCTGTAAGTTGATAAAACGTAAGATACAATTTCATTTCTATAGCTAACAGTATGTGCAACAGTATTTGAAGAAGAGAAGTCATTAGCTGCAGAGACAATACTTGCAGTAGAGAACTCAACTGCTACAGAGCTTATGGCAAGGGACTCTATTGAGCGCAGAAATGCAGGATCTGGGACAAAGCGATTAGCGTAATAGTTCTTTATATTGGAATTACAATTATCACTCTGGGTACCTTGTGCAGTTTACTGAGTAATGTTATTAATATACAGTAAAATAAATTCGATTGGTATCTATTTGCCCTAGCTAAAATCAGTTAAACAGTACTGTATTATATTTATTAAGCTAAATCTTTAGCAGTAGAACTTAATTCAGCAAATAGTAGGGTCTAAGTTGGACACTGCATAAAGTTAGATATTATCTATTATAGCATGGATCCATAGAAGTTCGTATTAATGCTTGCGTGACAATTCTCGGGGCGGGGGTAAGCTTGTCTACTGCTTCTCTACTGCTTGGCATACTGAGCCAGCAATTCGGATGGGGCTCATGCACTGGCTGAGTCAGAGTGTGATTGGAATGTCAATCTCAGAGTTACACCCGCGGACTTGGGTAATTTTATCTATGCATCCTAGGTCACCTTATGCAAATCGGCAAATTCTATCACTTGCTTATCTTAGGAGCTGCCCTCTTTTAACGATGACCTGATTATATACAGTCATGCATGCTTTGAACTTCTGTAATCACTCCGAGATAAGAATGGCAACTGATCTGCTAAGATGGTGATATTCCTGTCGAATTACTATAAACAGTCCCAAGGCTACAACTCTTACAGCATCATAGACATGGTACATTTATTACCAATGCAAGCCTATCCTGGTTACATGAATATATTCAACACCTCCTGACCAGCTGTGCACATCGTTACATCTGTATGCTCACGCATATCAATCACAAGATAACAACATGCAGAAGACTGGCCCGTAATGCCGATAACTTTACATCACTGATGAGTTTACAACTTAACGCCTCATGACCAAGTCTGCAGATAGTCGTATCTGTATGCTCCCGCGTGTACCACTTATGAGATAGCATCATACGAAAAACCGGCCCGCAACGCCGCCAGGTCTACATTACTTGGGAGATAACAACATGCAGAAAACCGGCCCGTGACGCCGATGCATTCATTGCGGTAAACCAGCTTTCATCATGATATATAAACCTTGTGAGTACTAGACAGCATAAGGGACAAATCTCAATCATCATAAGTTATTCTTAACGAGCAGCCATTATTAACTCAGATTTTACCAACGCCTATCATGGGTCTTACGGAAGAACAAAAGCAGCATTTCATTGAGAAAGGCTGGTTAAAGTATGTGCAACTCTACTACCCGAGCGTGCCAAATACCTAACATCTGGTAGGATTGAGGGTGCCTTTACGGCCGAGCAGGCTGCGCCGCTGATCAAAGACGTTGAAGAACGTCTCGGCGTGAACTTGAGTGATAAGTCAACTTGGAAGCAGTGGCGAATCAACCTCAAGCCTACTAAGTGGGTTCAGGCATCCGAGTTTGCCCCCAAGGCTTGGGAAGCCATCTGCGAGCTTTCTGGCGGGGAGCACCGTCTGGACCCTGAGGGTTGTTTCTGGAGCAACGGTTACATCGTCAACCTTGGAGATGCTGCCTATGAAGGCAAGCCATCGCCGCTGGAGGGCCTGGACCAATTCCATACCGATGGGCAGTTTTTCGTCCATTATCTCGACAGCCCGGAGCAGGGTATTTTCTGCGTGCCACTTTGGACCGATATAGTCCCAGGTGGTGGCCCCACCGCTCTCTGCTCTGGGACTGTAGGCACTGTTGCCAAATGGCTATTTGATCACCCTGAGGGCACGAACCCAGACCTACTCCCTCGAGGCCATCCGCGCTTCGATGATCCCAACGGGACCAACTTAGATTGGTCAAACAAAGTCGCTCGGGCCAACGGTCGTTTCGAACTGGGGACAGGCAAGGTTGGCGATGTGTATTTGCTGCATCCGTTCTTGGTTCACTCTCCGACGCGTAATGAGAAGAAGCATTTCCGCGCCATAACAAATTCAAAAACGAGTTTGAAGGAGCCTCATCATCTATACCGTGCGGATGGCAATTACAGCATTCTGGAGCAGAGCATCAGGCGCGGTTTGATGCAGAATGGTGTGACGGAGGAGGATCTAATGAACTGGCACATCACTGCACCTCGAGAACAATTCAAGCCAGGCCTCGTTGGTAGAATAGTACCCACAAAGGCTGATGTTACTCCGCTCAACAAATTCGGAGTACCTACACCAGTGTGAGGTGTAGGGTTGGTCGTAATACTATCTGTATTCACGTCACACTAAGACGCAATTGAGACAGAGAAAGCAAGAGTCCAACGATGGAGGATAGATAGTGATATCAGATAAGCTTCTTGAGTGGGATCAGAGGCCTATCGCAGCGGTCTTTTTAAGAATATTCCATAGGGAGGGTATCTATTGTATAAATCTCACGGAGGTTTTCAGCCGGGAATCTCGTGTTGTAAGTCAAGTCCTTGAAATTATATATTTACAGTAGCCTAGACTAGAATCTGGGATTTTCTAGGAATTCTAGTCGCAAGAAGACGAAGCTGTTCATTTCATCACAGATACAGGTACATAGCACAGATATAGAGGAATGCGGTACTCTGTACAGAGTATACATGTCATGAATGGTTCAGCCATGACAGGTAAATCAGCATGGACTTTGGCAGTACCTGTTCTGTGATTGGCCGGATCGTTCAATTCGAGTCATGGCAATACTCCATTTTTCACCACGTTAGTACTAATAGAGCATAGATCGAGGGATGGGGAAATCGATAATCCGCGGCATACTGTCATCACCCAATTTCGCTAACGGCTGAAACCAATTGACATTAGATGAATTCGCACAGCCCATTTTTTCATGTTCATTTTAGTGCAAATAGCTAATTGTTACACAGAGATTAGGTGGCTACGTAATGTTTTGATCGCTCTTGTCCGCCATCTTGGACCTGAAAATCTTTGCAGAGGAACGAAACTTCCGAAAGAGACCCGGATGCTTGTCGACTGCTACGCCATGGATAATATTCCCCCCAAATCGACCACAAGTGCTGCAAGTCGGCCAAAGCGGGCATATCACCGCAAAGTTAAGACGGGTTGTTTGACTTGCAGGTCAGTTTAGACGACTTATGTGCACGCCATGTTGCTGCTACAGCGTGCATCCCTGGCTTTACATGCACTCCCGCAATCTAACGATATGACTCTTCCAGGATTCGCAGGGTAAAATGCGACCAAGAAAAACCTGCCTGTGTGCGCTGTACATCCACCGGCCGCACATGTGACGGGTACACTTCTCCGCCTCCATCTTCATCCGTTTCATCATCAACCTCCACATCACCCCCCTCCCAGTTCTCTGACTCCCTCAACGCCGCCGCTGATCTCAAGCTCATCCTGCCAAGACAGAGCCCCGATGAGGTACGCAGCTATCGGTTCTTCCTAGAGGTCACGGCGCCATCTCTGGCCGGGTTTTTCTATGCCGACTTTTGGCTCACTGAGGTGCCGCGCGTCTGCATGTCCGACGCGGCCATTTGGCATGCTGTCGTCAGTCTCGGTTCTGCTCATGAGGACTTTGCAGAACATGGCCAGGGATCACGTAGCATGTTTGCTTTAAAGCAGTTCACTTCAGCCATCCGATGTCTTACTGACTCAAGGTCGCCGAGACATGCAGATCGGTGGAGAGCCCTTGTCGTCAGCACTATCTTTACCTATGTATGCACGATCAAAGGTCTTCACGATCAGACGCGGCTACATCTACAAGCCGGATGCAATCTTCTCTGCGAACTCCAAAGCCTCACCAACAAAGGCAGGGCAACTTTGAACCAAGAGAAACTTCTGAATGTTGTCCAAGACGAGAATTGGATCTCGTCAGTTCCGGTGTCAATTGCTCCGATTCAGTCCATTCTGACTAACCTCGAGCTGCACTTGAACGCACTTGACCATGGAGGCATGACCGAGAGTCCAACCCTGCTCTTACAAAACAAGACACTCAATACATGGCGCTACTATACAGCACCGCGGCGTTCATATCGTTCAACACCAAATTCTATCAATCAAGCCCACTGCGCTGCTGAGTCTCTCTTCACTGGACTCATTCTATTTTCCCAAGAACATGCCAAGCAGCTCGGGGATATTCAGTCCGGTGTATCCGGATCAACAGGACTAACAATGCTGGCTGCACGACAAACACCGTATACGCGATGCTATAAAGAAATAAGCAAAGCCATCGATATCTTCCAACGCGAGGTAGACGCCAGCCAACTGGAGCCGCATAACATGCTCCCCTTGCAGCTCTTCCAAATGTCTAATCGCCTGCTTCTGATTGAGGATCCTGAGGAGCATGACTTGGTTAAGCGCCACGATGACCTCCCCGTCTTGTACAAGTCTATAGTCGACCTCACCGAGCAGATCATAAACCTCGATTCTATGAAGACCCGCCGAGTCTCCTATACACAGCACCTCTTCCTCGTCGCCCATAGTGGCATTGGACAATCAACTCGCCGCCGCGCTGTGGCCTTGCTTCGGCGTCCACGGTTAGAGGGTGGCTGGGACAGTCTAATCTCGGCAAGTCTCGCAGAGGCTATCATGGACAGAGAGTGGGAGGCGGCGTGTGAATACCGGCTAGAGCAAAGCTTGGATACTGGGACTACAAGAGGCGAAGAAGAGAACGGGCAGAGAGGAGAGGAGGTTGATCCAATGTTTCGCGTGTTTAACATCACATTTGCGTTTACAGGACAGAGAGAGGCTCGTGCTGTGCTGCGGACGTGGCGGGAGAAGCTCGATGACGTTGCTGGGCGAAGCAGGGTTATTCGATGGTAATGATGAATAGTGAGACAACACTACTGATACTATTAAATATCTCGGTCCTATCTAGCAACAGGCATACTTTCAACACTACCAAACGACCGAAATCGGAACCCGAACAGTTAGTTCCGGCATCAAAAAGTGCACGAGAAGAGTCCATCACAGGTAATACACGACAATGTGCAACGTATTCATCATGTCTCCTGGAAACAACCAATGAATTTAGGCTTCCTTTGCGCCCAAGTCGGCAGTGACACCTGCACCCTCCTTGATGTAAACCTCGTGTTTCTGCTTAGATGTTTTGACAGGGTTGGGCGATTTGAAGATGTCATCGATTTCTTCAAGAGACCGACCCTTGGTTTCGACCAGAGCGAAATACATCATCCCCCACTCCACGAAATGCAAAATGAGGAAAATGGTGTATGTCTTCCAACCGATCTTTTGGAGAGCGACGGGTGTCGCATACGTGTTTATGAACCCAGAAACACCACTGAAGAAGCCAGAGGCAGCCATACCCTTGGCTCGGATATCATTGCGCAGGACCTCGCTTGGGTATAGAGACTGCAAAGGCGTCCAGCAAAAAGACCAAAAGATACCGTACAAGAAAATCATTGCAATAAAGGCGTAGCCAGTTGATGTGTCAACGTGACCGTGAGCTTTGGCTGCAATGACGTTGATGGGTATGTAAACGAGACCTGTCAAGAAGGTGCCTTGGAACGTCAGCCATGGTTGTACGCGAAACGAATGGATGTCAACTCACCCCAAAGAAACAAAGGCCTGCGTCCAAACTTCTCAACGCCAAATGAGCCCGCGACACCGCTGAAAAACCCGAAAATGACATTAACGCCATTGAGGAGAAGCTGCTGAGAAGAGCTGGTGATACCAACGTTCTCTAGAATGACAGGCATGTAGTAGGTGATAACAGAACCACCGATAAACTGAGAGAAGATGGCAACCAAGAACAGCAAGTAAAACCGGTGCAAGTTTTCCCTGTTGTCGAAGAGCATGCGGTAGTCCCACCACTTTTGGCTAGCTTCGATCTCTGCCTGGTATTCGATAGAGGCTCGCATCTCGTCAAGCTCCAGTTTCACGACAGCTGATTCAGGATTCCCGTCTCCATGATACCTGACGAGCACGGCTCTTGCTTGCTCTTCTTTGCCATGGCTCATGAGCCATCTGGGGCTTTCTGGTATGAACCATACCCCGCAAAGGATGATGGTTGCAGGGACGACTTGAATGATGATGGGGATCCTCCAGGACCAATTCGATGTTAAGCGGCCTGTTCCATAGGCAGTCCACGTAGACGCTGGCAGCATGTTAAATCGAGGCAATGAAGTTTAGTGGTGCGACCAAGACTCACCAAGCGATCCAATATACCAGCCGCCTACATTGTACAGACCAGCCAAAGTTCCGCGCCAAGATGGGTAGGCCATCTCAACTAGATAGATAGGAGACGCAGTTACTGCGATGGTACAGCCAAATCCGAGGAACAGTCTGCCCGCCATGAATGTCCCGACATTCTGGGCTGCCGCTTGGATCACAGTACCAATGATGACAAAAATTGACCCCGTCATCATACCAAACTTTCGTCCAAAGGTATCGGCGGCGGGAGCCGCTACAAGACAACCAAGGATGTTTCCAACACTGTAGAGCGCAAAGACAGCTCCGATAGAAGAGCCTTGCATTTCAGTACCGAAGAATTTATGGAAAGGATCCATTGCATTAATGGATGACATGATAGTTCCATCAAAGCCATTACCGCAATTATCTATGGATAGTCATTAGTTGTAGGGTATATGCATGATATGAAGATTCTAACTTAGCGTGACAAGAGCAATGATTGTATAGAGCTTGAAGATGGACGTTGCCCGTGAAGATAGGTTGTCCTTGGCAATGGCATCACTATAAGCAACATTTTGGACTTTTGCTACTTTGGATGTCGCTAGATCATCGGCTACCGAGTCCGGGACTTTCCCCACGGCCTGTACTTTATCGTCTTTCTTCTGCATTATGGTAGGGAACGCTAATGAGGAATACGATGGAGATGGGGGAAAAACAAAATCATTGTGCTGTGGATTGAAACAACTTAAATATACATAGCGAAGTCTCTGGCAAGCCAATCTGGTCTTTTTTTACGGCATAATCATGCTGAATTGAATCTGTTAGATGCGGGGAACTGGACAACCCTGGGTGAGCCCAGTGGATTAGCCATCGCTGGATGCGAGGTCGGATCAAGGCTACCCGAACCTGAGAAGGTAAAGTTAAGAGGAGTCAATGGTCATTGTCAAGCATCGCTGCTCCTATGTCTTTTGCGAGTCAGATTTGTTCGTTTGACTAGCCTATGTTGCCGCATAACCATGCCGAACTGACCTGGTTAGACGCGGCAACCGACCCTAAATGGGGTCGGAACAAGACTAGCCGCGCTTGAACGAGTTAATTCGTCTGGGGTACGAAAACCCCAGTTCAAAGGCATCGCTCCACTTCCCCACAGGGAATGATCGACGGAAGCACACAATACAAGATCGAATGATCGAATTATCAAAAGCGGTAAGGCGCCCCAATAGAGATAAACCAGGTAATGAGCTCTAATAAGCTTCTAATACTCTGTAGCCTTAATACCTTTACCTACTACGGCCTATAGCTAGGTCAGCGCCTTAGTAATAATATCTAAAAGAAAGCTTTATATATTAGAGTATAATATATTACTTATAAAATCTTATAATATAAAGACATGCTCCTCCTGCGCATAGCCTTCCCCTGAAACTGAAAAAAGATCGAAGTTGCATGTACTATAAAGATAATAACGACCAGGTATATAATAGTATTTCGTGGGCCACTGGTGTTTATCCATGGCTGGATACAAAAGGTAAGCGCCCCCCCACCGACATTGCGCACAAAGTTGGACAGTTGTACAATCTCATCCTCGAGCTCAGGATAGGAGTCAAGAGCATAGCCGAGAGCAACGGGCAGGCAGACATTGGTGTAGACACCGATGAGAAAAAGTCCAATACATGGCAGGATCCAGTGGACACCTGTGCTAGCGCCGACGCCGTACAGAAGGCAGCCCGCCGCTGCCAGAAGTGGCACTAGCAGGTACACCCACAGTCTGTTCTCGGGCTCGTGGATTCCCTCAGCCTTGCGGGCCAAACGAATCAGCAGCCAGTCGGTAAGTGTGCCGCCAATAAACACTCCCATAAAGCTCCCAATCATGAGAGGGATATACATAAGGCCCATCTGGGCAGCGGTGAAGTTGTAAGGCGGAATGGAGAAAAAGCTTGCTTGAGTGGTCATAACAACACTGACGACAAGAGTCGATATGGCGAGCTGGAAACTTGCCCATAGGGCGGCAGGAAGGGCAGCGACCTTGGCCATGGACAGGACGAGTCTCCAATAGCCTGCCTTGACCTCGGGGTTATTGCGATAAATTGCCATCTTCTGAAGGTAGTTGAGGCGCTCGGCAAAATCAGCAGGCTGTGTTGGTGCAGGACGTGCAGCTGTCTGGACTTTACTCTGGCGCATCTTATCCTTTGGCCCTGGATGAGATGCCACAGTTTCGTTTGGCAACGCGACTGCCTCCTGAATGTGGTTTGCTAATCGAGAAAAGGATGTCTCTTCAGCTATAAACAGTACAAGGAGTGTCGAGACACCGAAGAAAACGAGAAGGTACCGAAATACCCAAACCCAACCTTGACTATCAACGATGCAGCCAGCTGCCAGAGGCGGCAAGAAGTTGCCCAACAGGAGGATGAAGCCATAGATACTCAAAACCTTACCCTTCTGGTGGAGGAACGAGATGTCCAGAAGCGAAGTAACAATAGTGGAGTAAGAGGGCGCTGAGCCAAAGCCGGCCAGTGTCATATAGACGAAGTATAGTCCAATGCTTGTCATTGATAGGCCGCATGCGAGACCCGCCATGATAAAAAGTGATCCGATAAAATATGGCAGTCTTCGGCCGTATTTGAGGGCTAAGGGTTGCAGAAACATAGTGCCTACACCGCACATGATGACGAGGAGGGCTTGTCCATAGCTGAGTTGTGTAAAATCGGTCTTGAGGTCGACGACCCAGATGGTCCACGAAGGAGAGCACCATGCGATACTTTACTTCTGTTAGCCGCTGAGTTTGCACGAAGTCAAAGATAACGCGAATTTGACTTTACCAGGCATTGGCGAGAAAACTCCAGAGCAGAAGGGTAGAAGACACCCAGAGCTTTTCTCCTTTAGACCAATTCTGTTGGATAGCTTCAGTTAGCATCAGGGAGGAACAGGGATAGGGAGTTGCGCGTACGAGAGGATCATTGACATTGGTGGTTGGGGCGGGAACTAATATAATAGCTCCTCCATCGGCTTGGAATCCTCCATGTTGAAGATGATCTGACATAAACAGATATTATTAGCTCAACTTCTTATACAGCCCTGAAGGGCATAATGGGATTGACCTGACGTACTTTCGAAGAGGCGGACAGTGCCAGGGACGTCGGACACTGGATCTTTGATACCTAAAGGCATCCCGTCAATTGTGTTGTTATTGGTATGAGTAGGCTCCATGATTTCTGCGAGGGACAAGTCAGGAATAGCTGACAAGAAAGTCGTGCAGAGGCAGCTTTAGAAGGAGGACATTCCATTATATGGACATTGCAACGATAGAACGCGTATCTCAACAAGGGTCGGATCGAACGCCTCCTATGATATGGCTGTAGACAGTTTATTATCAGATAGCTGTGATTCGGCCGGTCGAATTCGGATACGCGACCCCAGCATTGATCTTGTTTACTCCAGAAATTAGCGCTACTGCTGAGCCTGCCATCCTTATAGGATTTCCTATTTAAGCTTTAGCTTCAGATATCAAGATCGCTTGAGATGCATGTTCTAGGTCTAGTTCACTTATTATTAGATTCTCCACTTTCCTTATCACAGTATTAGCCTTGAATCTCAGGGACGGAGAGGGATCTAGACCAACCCCGACTGATTCAGTTTCAGAAGGCTTAACATCATCACGGTCTGGTCCATACCTGGACGTACTAACCCCACTATATCCATGCGTATCTCACATCTTATCATCTCCGCATTCTGTGTCAAACTAACAACAGTACCGAGGATCTGGAGACTATTAGGAATTCGCCGCCTGTTTAGATTCATGCAGAACGCAGTCACGGCAATCAGGGTCGGTAATCGACGAAGAATCAAAAGGGCGTCGGCGGTGCAAATCGCCGAAGCATCTGTCTTGGACTGACTCCCTAGACCTAGAACCTGGCCAAGCGATTGGCAGTCGGGGTTAGAAGCACAACAACAGGTCATAGAACCCGACTGGTTTTAATAAGATGAGCCTAATTAGCAGAGACTCACAGCATTCATTGCGAGGGAAAAGGTTAATCCAATTATGGGAGCTTTATGACAAGCATCCTCACATACTGCCGAATCCCAGCATCTGAGGCTAACTATTGTGCGCATGTGCACTCTTGCTTTAATATGCAAAGGATTATAAGAGTCACTTCATTTTTCATCGCAGATACACATCTCGTTAACTATATTATTCTACGCCTAGTCTCTATTGTTCTCGATGGACTCGCCCTTCTTCCGCCCCGTAAACTTATCCAGCACATTTCGTGTGATGATTTCAGTGAACACGTCTTTGTGGATAAGTCCCGACACCCACTCGCACGACCCGGCACAAAACACTTCACCACCTTTTCTGGTGAAGCTCGCCACCATACCTGACCCATACTCGCGATCCTTTAGGTACTCGGGCAAGTCTTGGCCTTCATAGCAAAGCTGGAGAACTCCAAAGCTAGAAAGAAGACGACATATTAGCGTTGGGGCAGATCAAGGAAGGAAAGGGGACTTACACATCAGTCACGGGACCGCCGACCGGTTAAATATATATATATATACTTATAGTATATATAAGTTAAATAGGGTTAGTTTAACTCTATTTATTACTGTTAAGCAAGTTGAATAAGGTCGGTTTAACTCTGTTTATGGCTGTTAGTTATATAAGTTAAAAATTATATATTCGACTAGTATAGGATAGGTAGCTTCTGATTAGATAAAAAAGGTAAGGGTCTATTCTCATATATATTAAAATGTATTAGCTCGTAATACTTATAATATTAACTTAATAGCATTAGCCCGCTATACTTAACTTATAGGTAGTATAAGATAGTAAAATACCCAGAGTCGCTACCTATAAACCCTTACCTCTTTAAGCCACTCGCTAATATAGAAAAGGTCCTTAATACTTATAATACCTAAAACAAGATTAGCATTTACTTAAGTATTTATAGTCAAAACGCGCCGCGTTTCGCCTTCTAGGCCAATTAAAGCCTTTAGATTTCTACCCTTATTTAAGTAATGAAAACAGGGCGTTGTGAGATACTAGTATGGCTAACGATACCTGCTGTTAGGGAAGTGTTCTGCAGTGGTTATTGCTTCGGAATTTACCCACCTCATTGTTACAGGAGCTAATGGCGCTCGGGGAAAACCCACCAAGAGAACTAAAACACACTAATACAATCAAGAATACACACTAGTCTCTTGTAATCATGGTGTTTGTGGAAATGCCGAAGCCCGATAGGTGTGAAATACTGCTATTCCAGATCTGGCCAGGAATAATAGTGTTGATACAATTTAGCAAGGTTTCAGATGGACTCGCTGCGACCCGCAGTAGAGTAACAGCCAAGATTTAATTTTGTCATTATGCCCATAAATCCAAGCTAAAGAAAAGCGCTGAGACTATTACTATAAGAAGGCTTTACTTAAGTCTTCCAATCTCACAGGTTGTTAATCATTATTATTCCTTAGGTTTTACAAGCACCCTCCTACAACTATCAGCTAATACTTTTCCTCAAGATGTCAAACCAGCTCAAACAACCGGTCATTATTTCTGGAGGTGGCCTTGTCGGGTTGACGCTGGCACAGTACCTTGAGAGAGTCGGCATACCGTACCTACTTTTTGAGCGTGATGAGAGCCCTGATGCGCGATACGGTGGCTGGGGCATTTCAATCAACTGGGTCACTCCCGCTCTACAGAAATGCCTTACTCCAGAGGCATTTGATGCTATCAAGGCCCTTCATAATGACCCAAGGACACTGGAGGAGGGTAAGACTTGCACTCTGAATATAACTTCAATATGTGTTGACAGATATTATCTCAGATACTATCCCATATCAGTATTTTGATCTAGAAAACGGGAAAGCAAAGACTACTCACTTCCTACCTCCTCAGCTGCGTGTTTCTCGCCTCAAGTTGCGGGAGATACTTGCACAGGGAGTCAAGATCAACTGGGGCATATCTGTTACCGGATGGGAAGAGGTCGACGACGGAGTCCTTGTTTCTCTCTCGGACGGAAAAACGGTCAAGGGAAGCATTCTTACAGGGGCTGACGGGAAGAACAGCCATATCAAAAGAAAGATTCTAGGCGAAGAAAAGGCCAAGCTTTATACCTTTCCTATGGGGTTCGTTGGTCTAAAGATGCGACTTGCACCAGAGAAGATTGCCCCATTTCGAAACTTGAGTCGTATATTCTTCCATGGCACTCACCCAAACGGCAAGTTTATCTTCTTCTCTACTATCTCTACCCCTGAAGTAAATGGAAGCAAGGGCACAGAGAACGAGTACTTCGAGGCGCAGCTCAACATGAGCTGGAATGCCGGAGACGCGACCCAAGATATTCTAAATCTGCCGCCCACTGAGAAGCTCAAAGAACTTAAAAAGGCGGCCACGGAGGGCACTGGATTCTTCAAGGAACTTCGGGAGGGATTCGATAATATCCCAGATAACACTGAAGTATTGGATATCGTGCTCCAGGACTGGATGACAGAACCTTGGCAACCTTCGGCATCGGTAACGATTCTAGGGGATGCAGTACACCCCATGACTATGTGTAGGTGTATAAAATTCTACAACAGACGAACTCGAGCTAACTTTCCAGACCGCGGTGAAGCTGCGAACCATGGAATGTTTGATGCCTACATGCTTGGTCGCCAACTCCACAAGGTGAGCATGGGAGAAAAAGACATGGCAAAAGCAATTGAAGATTTTGAAAGAGAGATGATTAGCCGGGCACAAGAGGCAGTCAGCCTCAGTCGCAGGGCGGGTTTTGAGGTCCATGATCTCGATGCTATTTCGGAGTCAAGCGCTTTGTTTCAGTACCCGCATGTGCAGAGGTTGGAAGCTCTCATGTCACAATAAACTGCTGTTTCTTTCGAGCCAGTGGAATTCCAGAATGGCATATCTTTTGTCGTTATTTTGGGTTCGAGTTCCCTCTCAGTTGTAAACTACACTCATTCAATGTATGCAAAACTTTTACTATAGTGATGCCAGAGCCCATAATTAAAGTCATAGAGCAAATTTTGAAGGCGGTAACGGGCGTGATGCGGCATTCTAGAGAGTCACAATACGAAGGTTCATTCGGAAGACTAGCCTTCGCCGCATGACAGTAGACTCACACTTAGATAACACCGTCAGGTCACGTTCACACTTTTTGAAGGCCAACGCGTTATCCACGCTAAAAGTGCCACACCAATAATAGCTCGGTACTAAAGAGCGGGGTAATAATACCTAACGCGATAAGATACATGACGCTTGAAGGCAAAATGAGGCTTATGGTGGCATAGGTCTATGTTATTGGCATGGGAGATGATAAGAGCAGTTCCGCGATTCCAGACTATCGCGATTGTTGTGTGCATGTCCATACCCGAACAGTCTCGGCTATTAGGTCCATAGCCGCCCCTTGTATTGATTCTTTTGCTTATACGTGCGTGGGCCATAGCCAACTAATACTACTTTAGCCTTTCCTCACAACTATTAAGACCATCTGACGCCCGTTGACTTCCAGTCCTTGCCCAACGCAATAACATTACTATCATTTATCATTACAACTATAATTATTATCCTCGTCTCTTCGCTTGTGACGATCCGGCTCAATCACAGTTGAGAAGTATGGCAGCCAGCCCTGAGTTCGAGCATCTTTCCCAGGGATCTGATAAGCAGCCCGAAGGGACACATTCAAAACTGGAGATGTCCAAGGAGGTAGATCCCGAACTAGGTATTGGGACAGAAACGGATCGTTCTTCTATGCCCGGTACCATTGAGCCAGTGAACTCATTCTGGCAAGGGCTTGTTGTCAAGCTTGGAGTTGAGAGTCGGGGCCTAGAACCTGTTCCGGGGGAGCTGAGGACTGATGAGCGCTATGCCAACATTCTGACGCTTTTCTCGACCACTTCTATCGGACTTCTTCCGTCAGTAGGCCTCTTATCTGAAATCATAAACTTCAGCTGATACTAAAACTATGCATAGAATTGGTATTGGGGCCGCCTCGACTCTTGGGTACGGATTGTCACTCAAACAAGCAGCACCCATGATCATTTGTCTTCAGCTGGCTTTCCTCATCCCGTCTTGTTATATTCTCACACTCGCACCATTACTTGGCATGAGGCAGTGGTGTCAGTTTCGTTATGTCTATGGGTAAGCCGCACGTCGGATTGATTGACTCTTTGTTTATGTTTGGTGCTGATCTCCTTTGCCAGCAAATACTTCAACCAGATAGTTTCATTGGTCAGCCTTCTCGGCATTGCAATCTTTGGAATCACGGCCGCTGTTACTGGTGGGCAGACCCTCGCGTCTGTCAACCCACGCACACTCTCAGTTGACAGTGGTATCGCTATTATTTTTGTGATTGGCTGCTGCATTGGATTCATGGGATACAAAGTCCTGCACGGATTTGCCCGCTACGCCTGGATCCCTGCATCTTTTGGCATCCTCATTCTTATCGGCTGCGCGGGCGATCAGCTGCACCAACAAGCTCCACCGCGCGCAACAGGGGCCAAACCATGGCTGAGCATGATATCTATGGCTGCAGGCATCTCCTTTGCCTGGGGAGGCGTTATTGGCGACTACGCATGTTACATGCCTCCAAAGGCACCTCGCTTCCGGCTTGCTCTGTACTTCTTGTCTGGTTTTGGCGTCATGTTCTCGCTCATGATGATACTGGGTGCGGCTCTAGGAGGTGCAGCGCTCCAGATTCCCACTTGGGCTGCTGCCCTTGGCGAAGGAGGCACTGGCGCTGTTGTTGGCCAAGTTGTGGTCTCCCGATTAGGAGGGTTTGGGAAATTTGTCTTGACTATCCTCGCCTTGACAGTTGTCATAACAACAGCCAGGGATATTTACAGCATCTCCTTGGCTATTCAGGCTGTCGTTCCATGGCTTGAAAGAGTTCCCAGGGCTGTCTTGGCACTTGTCACAACTGGAGTCTTGATCGGGGTAGCAATCCCTGCTTCAAAATCGTTCATCTCATCCCTCTCTGCGCTAGTCTCTATTCTCTCCTATTCGTCTGGAATTACGGTAACCACTTTTCTCATTGAGTGGTTCTGGTTTCGGAGAGCGAACCCTGACACCATGGACCCGGCCATCTGGGACGACGGTAAAGCTCTTCCTTCAGGGATTCCAGCTATCGTTACCTTCGCTATTGCCTGGGGGCCAATTATCTGTGGAATGGACACTGTGTGGCTTACTGGCCCCCTTGCCAAGGTTGCTGGAGATTTAGGCTGGGAGCTAGCTATCCTTACCACTGTCATCATCTATACCCCTCTTAGAGCTGTGGAGATTAGATATCGTGGTCGATTCTGAGAGGACTAGCGACAAACAGGGGGAGGGACAAATGGAGACTGCGTACCTCGGCGAGAATCTATCTAGTAGTATCTAAATCAATGCTTCTCAGACTTGGGTTATGTAGTATCACTACTCTCAGTTGTTTAGTTTGTAAAGGGCTTTTGGTGTATTGTTAATGGCCTTGACTTTTCTAATATTTTGAACAAATACAATACTTCTTTTCTTAGAAAATCGAGACTTCATAGTATACTGTAAGAACAGCAAGCATTTTGCCAGTTTACTGTACAAACGCGCTTGCTTCCCCGGGTTCTGTTTAGCAAGGCCCAAAAACCTGACCGACAAGACTTGGACTATTTAGTTAACGATTCGTGCGGGTTAACCCCGCATAGTTCTTAGCAACCTTTAGAGTTCTGCAGTGGCGATTGTGGGTATTCCCCGACTAAATTGAACTGGAAGTGACCTTGCCCGAAAGGGACAAAGTGTTCTTATCTCGTGCTCCTCCATTCCTGCAGTCAGTTTAGTGCGTGGGGTCCAGCTGGCTTGTGCTAATTTCCTGAGGGATCAGCGTTGACAATTGAACCAGAATCAAACAACCCGTGACAAACCCACGATATCCTTTCCACTGTCGAATTGGATCTCCATAATCAACTGCGCTGTTGTGAATTCCAATTGCAATTTCGTGGCCACCGGTAGATAAGCCACTAGGATCCCTGCCTGCCTGAATGGCACATCGTTCGTGTGAATACCACCGTACCACCCAACATCCGACCGACATCATGAGCCAATCCAAGGAGTGCCGTACTTGTGGGAGCATCTTTTCCTCCAAGAGCCATCTGGTTCGACACGAGAAGTCCCGTAAGTCACCAGTGGCCCGCTTATTCATCCCCTCGTATCATTCTCAAATTAATCCTCTCTCTACCTAGATACCCAAGAACAATCCGCCCCATGCACTTTTTGCGGCCGCATGTTTTCTAGAACGTAAGCTCCACTGCTCAGCTAACTGCTTGTGTGGAATCTGTTTCTAATGCCCGATTCACCAATAGTGACTCGGTTCTTCGTCACGCCAAGAAGTGCGAGAATCGTGCTGGTCGGCCAATACCCGCAGGCATTAAACGTGGAAGGGGTCGGAAGGCATGTGATCGATGTGCCTTGTCCAAGCTCGCCTGCGACACAGATGATCCATGCGAGAGCTGCCTAAGCCGCGGCTGGGAATGTTCTTACGATCGAGTCGGCGTTGCCTGTGCTCCTGGTTCTCTGCCTGCCATTCCTTTGCCTGAGGTCAACTGCGAGACCGTTGAGCAAGAAATCGACAACAGTATTGATTCGGACGATCCACAACCTGCAAGCCCACCGCCGATCACAAGAAGTGACAGCACGCTCTTCCTTCTTCAATACACAGCCCGTGAAAACAAGAATATCACCGATTTTCGGAATGCCCTGGAATCGTGTTCCATCCTTCCCCATGACCCTGGCAGCCCTCCTTGTGGTCTTCAAGACGGAAACGGCAAGTTTCTTTCTCAGGATGATTGCAATGCCTGGGATGACCCGTTAGTCTGGAATAATATATTCCCCGCAGGCGCAATGATAGACATACTGGATGAGGACGGTATCGGGATCCCAAGCCTCGAGGACATAAATCGAAGCTCACTCGAGCAACGAATTCCTGAAATATTGAACCTAATTCCTTTGGATGATCATAATAACCTTTATCGGCATAACGGGAGTTCGAGGACGCAGATCCGGCCAATATTCGAGAAATTGCTCACCATTAGCAATATATACCGCGCTCTCGAAGCATTCTTCCGACGGATGTACCCATATAACCTTGCAATACACCGTCCGACTTTTACTGTTGGCAAGATATCGCCTCAGCTCTTTTTGGCAATGGTCGTAGCTGGCTCCATATACGACAGTGTTCAAGATATGTCTTCACTTACCTACAAAAGCTTCGACACCTTAGAATCCATCATTTTCAATAATAATGAATTCGAACTATTGACCAATGGGCATCATGTCTGCGGCTTGGATGGCTGTTCAATGCATCTCGACCTTCTCAGTGCGGCTGTTATTGTAATCTACCTCCAACTTGGAATGGACGACAGAACGAAACGGAGCCGCATGCGGATGATACGCGTTCCTATGCTAGTTACAGCAGGTCGAAATCTCTCACTTTTCAGCACCCTAAAACTCGGTACACATGAAACCCCTGGTAATACTTTTGCTGAAATGTGGTATGAATGGATCAAGACTGAGAAAAGAATAAGGTGAGGGGATATCACGCATCGCAGTAACAACGCTGATAATTAACTAACCGCAGAATGGCCTTTTCAATCTTCCTACTTGATAGTGAACTTGCCATATTCTTTAGAACAATGCCGAGTATCACTCTGAGAGAGATGAAACTTGATTTCCCATCTAGTGAGGTGGTCTTTCGTGCAAAAACATGGGGAGATTGGCTACTATCAGACCAGACTGCTTCAAGGCTACTCAACCACAATTTCTCATCTTGCTTCACAGAGCTCATTGAAGGGGCCGATAACGCCATGACAGAACGATTGCTGCAGAAGTACAACTTGACTGACCTGTTTTATGTCCTTTGGGGTATGTTTCTACAAGTCATTTCCGAGTATCTCGCCCTTACGTCAGAGATATTCGAACTGTTTTGCTTGTGTTACTAACCATCGAAATAGGTCTTCACAGATTAATATATCTATCCCAGACCAATCTATTGTTATCCACTCTTGACTCTTTAGATCTGCCTCTCAAACTATGGAAGCACCATTGGAATCGGAATCTCTCGCAAGGCCCCCCTTTTAGCCCGGAGGAGCTTGCTATTACCAGAGTTGGAGAAAGCTTGTATTGGCTGGCACGATTATTCTCAAAAATTAAACCAGGCAGCCGAAGACATGAGGATTCAAATCTAGACTCCCTGGATTGGTTGCACTCCTTGATACAAGAACACGACGGGAAAGACTTTAGTTGATCACTTGTGTCTGCAGGAATATTAAAATATAAAGCTAAAGGCAATAGCAAAGGGAATAACTGCCCAGTCTTGACTTAAATTCAACTGCTGTACTACCTCAACTTCACAATGCTAGGATGCGCTACAGCGTATTGGTATAAGGGATCCCCTGATCGGATATGCATGGCACAAAGGATCCAGTATTGAGCAGCTATCCCAATGAACATTAAAGATATCCCTCATTTGCCCTTTGTCTCCTTAACCAGGTCTGCCAAGTGCAAGCTCACTGTCTCTGGAAGCTCGACGACCGGGAAGTGAGATTCCCCATTAAGCCGAGCAAAGCTGAACCAATCATACTTCCGAGCGAAATCTTCGTGTGCCTCCAAATAGGCTTGTTCTCTGGGGTGACTGAAGATATGACGAAACAGAGGGGGATTACTAATCGTCTCAAGCCGTTCCATAGGCGAACCCCAGCGCTCATAGTTCTTCTCGACAAGCCAGCAGAAATGGGACCAGCTATCGAATCCGTGAGCGCCGACATCATTGTAGAAGTGGTTCAAAACGTTAGGATTCTTAGTGTCATCGAGCCAGCCCTTAATAAGAGCAGCCTGAGCCTGGTACCAAGTGTCCCTTTGCTGCGTCATCTGCAGTTGAGAGATAAATTCAGGCGGAGCATGAGTCAGGATCAGATCGGTCAGCAATACAGCTGGGACCCTCTCCTTTCCAAGACGCGCGGCAAGCTCCATGGCACACCATCCCCCATGAGAGTGAGAGACAGGGATAAATTTCTTAACCTCGAGGGAGTCAAGGAGTGCAATAGTGTCGCTTGCCTGGTCATCAACACTCCATTTTCCTACAGGGTCGCGGTTTGCTCCGTGGCCCCTCCACACGATCCTAATAACACGATACTTGCCCGTCAAGTATGGCAGCAGGTATTGATAGCCACGGTGGTCCTGTCCAAGACCTGGCAGACAGACGATTGCTGGTTCATCTGACACAAGGCCTCGGTCATCGAAGGATAGTTCAACCCCATTGAGAATTCGATTATAGAGCATTTTGTGTTTCGGTTGAAGGAGGTTGAAAAAATAAATGAAAATAAGATTTAACTGTCAGTAAAATGATATATCTGAGGGTATGCCTGGTTATTGATTCTATGGGGCTTCAGGATTGATGTGAAAGACTCAAAGAGCTTGTTTCAAAACTTGGAAAATATTCAGGTTAAGTATGTCAACAAAGAACAAGGCTCCATATAGTCGGGATATCACCATCAGTCCACGTTGTGAGCACAATGCCATCCATCTCCATATCCTAAATCAGACAGTCGGCTTATTGTGTGGGGCTATTCTTACAAACCAGGATTTGAGCGGCTGTGGGTTAAACCCGAATACCCACAAGTCCGCAGGCCCGTCGACTGACCCACTAAGCCGCTTGGTTGTTGGTGGGTTTTCCCGATTATATAAACATGGCGATTTATGCCTTTGGCCCGTTTCCGCTCCCCATATCCGCCTGGAACGAATTGGGTCTTATCCGCTATCTGTACGCGGTTGAGCAAAACACTAGTTGCCAAGCTTGGTGCGTGGAAGCAATGGGTCGGCTGAGTTCTTATCTGCGCTATTTAAAATGGCCCAAGAATTCCCTTCCATGGTATCTGGACCTCGAATCAGTTTAAAGGGCGCGGGGTTCTAATCAATGACAGAACTTTCTTGCATCCTAGATCTCAGTTACTATATTACAAATATTCCAGATAGGAATAAACAAAGTCTTTAGGGCCTGTCTTGAAGAGCTGTTATTTCTCTTTCTTTGTAGGTTCAACTCCTTGTCGATTGATGATAAAGCTAATAAAATTGTCAGGGAGATATGGATAAGTCAGGAAAAGTAAGGATAAAGCTCCAGGGCGGAGAAATAGAAGCTGCACGCGACAATGATATTTTCAAAGCTCGTGGAATACGATATGCCTCCGCGAATCGTTTTGAGCTTCCTCAACCTGCACAACCCTGGGAGGGTGTTTTAGACTGCACACATCCGGCTTCTATCTGTCCCCAGATGGTGCCTTCGCGTTTAGACAGTGTCACAGGCCCTATTACCTCAGGAAGGATGCAGGACGAAGACTGCCTTCATCTTACGGTGACTGCATCAGTTGAGGCACTCACAGATGGAAAAAAGCGGCCTGTAATGGTGTTCCTACACGGAGGAGCATATGTCTCTGGTGGTGGAGACCTTGATGCATATTCACCCGTCGGACTCGCACAACGCGGTCTCGTCATGGTCAACATCACACATCGGCTTGGACTCTTTGGATACCTACCCATTCATGATAGAGCCCCTGCAAACCTCGGACTCTATGATCAAATCATGGCGCTAGAATGGATCCAGGGCAACATTGCTGATTTTGGAGGAGACCCAAATCGCGTTACTCTTTTTGGGGAGTCTGCTGGCGCGGATTCCATTTTCTGCCTCATGATAGCTGAAGGGACTCGACATCTATTCCATCAAGCAATCCTTCAAAGCGCTCCACTAGGAGTAAGAATGATGGATCGCGAACAAATGATACAAGCCCTCGGCGCTTTGGGTCATCATCGACTTGCATCTTCTGAAGCACCCAGGACCACCGATGAGATGCTCTGTCTGCAGGTAGAGCTACTTATGGAGGCCAAGAAACATCCCTCTGGATTAATGGCTTTTGGGCCTTCCCTGGGTCATGCACCTCTTCCACCGCTTTCAGAGGTTTCTCACAAGGTCCAGCAGGCAGCAAAACAGATCAATCTATTCATCGGTTACACAACACATGAAGGCGCACCCTTCGCAAGAATGAACGATACCTTGCGGTCTTATTTTGATTTGCCACTTATTGGATGGCTTATCGAGCGACTTATGGTGTGGATTGTTTCAAGAAAAATGTTCATATGGAGAATTACCCAACTCCATAATCATTACCTCAGGGCCGGGGGCAGTTCAAGGAAATACAAATTCGACTGGTGGCCATCGCAAAGCGACTTGCGATCTACACATTGTTTAGAACTCCCTTTCCTATTGGGTACCTGGACAGACTGGGCAAAAGCCCCCATGCTACACGGACCGGAATCGAGAGTTGTACTTCACAGTTTAGGCACTAAGATGAAGGATTTATGGGCTGCATTTGCTAAAGGTTTAATGAAATCAAAGGATGTAAATATAGTTGGAGATGAGGCCTATGGAGAGATTATTTTTAATTAACTATTATTAATAACTAAATAAAATAGCCTATAGATTCGTTATAAGTTAAAGGGTAAATAGCTATAATAGATAGAGGAGAGGTCGAGGTTATAGGAGGGTAAAAGGTTATAACTTGTTAATAGATCGATATAGGGTTAGGATTTTAAAGATAAAAGTAGGCCTAGGAAATAGTATAAACT